CTGTTACTAGGTTGTTTTTTTTCCCAATTTATCACAAAGAAAAAGTAGCCCGGAACTAAAATTATGGTCATTATTAACGTTCCGGGTAACAATTGCTATGTTTTTTCAAACATCTTTTGGTACTGGGTTGTTTCTTTTTTTACTTTCTTACGAAGATAAAGTAGCCCGGAACCAAAATTATGGTCATAATTAACGTTCCGGGTTTGAATTGCTGAGAGTATTTTCATATATTTCTGTTACTAGGTTGTTTTTTTTCCCACTTTATCACAAAGAAAAAGTAGCCCGGAACTAAAATTATGGTCATTATTAACGTTCCGGGTAACAATTGCTATGTTTTTTCAAACATCTTTTGGTACTGGGTTGTTTCTTTTTTTACTTTCTTACGAAGATAAAGTAGTCCGGAACCAAAATTATGGTCATAATTAACGTTCCAGGTTACAATTGCTATGTATTTTCAAACATCTTTTGTTACTAGGTTGTTTCTTTTTTTACTTTCTTACGAAGATAAAGTAGCCCGGAACCAAAATTATGGTCATAATTAACGTTCCGAGTTTGAATTGCTGAGAGTATTTTCAAATATTTCTGTTACTAGGTTGTTTTTTTTTTCCACTTTATTACAAAGAAAAAGTAGCCCGGAACTAAAATTATGGTCATAATTAACGTTCCGGGTTACAATTGCTATGTATTTTCAAACATCTTTTGTTACAAGGTTGTTTCTTTTTTTTACTTTCTTACGAAGATAAAGTAGCCCGGAACCAAAATTATGGTCATAATTAACGTTCCGGGTTACAATTGCTATGTATTTTCAAACATCTTTTGTTACAAGGTTGTTTCTTTTTTTTACTTTCTTACGAAGATAAAGTAGCCCGGAACCAAAATTATGATCATAATTAACGTTCCGGGTTAGAATTTCCGAGAGTATTTTCAAATATCATTGTTACTAGGTTGTTTCTTGTTCACTTTATTACAAAGAAAAAGTAGCCCGGAACTAAAATTATGATCATAATTAACGTTCCGGGTTAGAATTTCGGAGAGTATTTTCAAATATTTCTGTTACAAGGCTGTTTCTTTTTTCACTTTATTACAAAGAAAGAGTAGCCCGGAACTAAAATTATGGTCATAATTAACGTTCCGGGTTACAATTGCTGTGTATTTTCAAACATCTTTTGTTACTAGGTGTTTCTTTTCCACTTTATTACGAAGATAAAGTAGCCCGGAACCATAAATTATGTTCTGGGTTACAATTTCTGGTATTATACTTTCATGTAAATTAGTTAAAATTGATTCGTCGAGAAACATTATTTTGTTAAAAAAACACGATTACCCTCTGAATGATGAAGCCACGCCCTCCAGCGTAGCAACATGCAACATTGCAACACTGTTATATGTATTTGTATAAAACTTCAGTACAATATAATAAATATTGCATGTAGTTGAATGTAACATTGAAAATTTTCACCATTCGAAAACCATTGTCAACCTCGGCTGCGCCTCGGTTGACAATGGTTTTCTTGGGGTGCACTCAACTACATGCAATATTTATATAAGAATAATTTCAAAGCTATTTGTTACCTGTTCATTTTCTTTCACTTTAAAACACAGATAAAATAACCCCGGAACCAAGTTAACGGTTATGATTGACGTTCCAGGTTACAATAGCCAGAGTAATTTTAATTTCACAGATGTATTTCTTGTGACAAGACTTTCTCTAGGATACCAACAATTTTGACCTTGACATTGGAGTTTGAACTATAAAAAAAAAATTAACTTTAACCTTGGCCATAACGTACTTTTGACATTTCATGCTAGGGCTTTTATATTTCACATGTATATTTCATGTGACTGGTCCTTTCCCTGGGTATCATTGATTTTGACCCTTTGAGTTTGACCCACTTTGTTAAAAACTATAACCTTGGCCATATATAACTTTTGAACGGTTGGTTCTTGGGCTTTCATATTTCACAGGTATTTTCATTGATATAAGTCCTTTTTTGGAAAACAACATTTTTGATCTCTTGACCTTGACCTTAGAGTTTAACTTGTACTTTAGAAACTTTACCCTTCACAAAAGACTGCCGTGCGGGAGCATCAGTGTTTCACAAATGCATTTTGTTTTTTTATTACTTCTCACTTTACCTAATGTGTTTACGTTTTTTAACCATTAATCTAAAACAATTCCAGTATTTAATGTGAGTATGTAACTCTGTCTTTGACACATAATCTTTCAATTTTAGCTGTAAAAGTTTATTATTATTTATTAATTGCTGTAGACATATATCTTATCGCATTTCAACAATAACAAACAATGCAAAATAATACACAATGGCATTGTATGGTAGTTTTATAGATTACACAATCGTCATATACATGTATAATGATATCATGGAGAATTACCATATCATATAAGAAAAAAAACTTTCTCTCAACTTAAAAGCATAATGGATATATGTCCCAAAATTACAGAGATCATGGACGGTGTGAGCACTTAATAATTGTGCAAATTTGAAAAAAAAGATTTCTGTCAGTAATACTTCTCGACATATTTTTAAAGAAGCTTTTCAAAATGCAGGCAATTTAAAAATAAAATGGTATTCATCCTCTACTTCACCACTGCCCCCTCCCAGTTAAAGTTTTCGTTCGTGCGTTATAACAACTCTCATTTCATCTTCAACCCCCCCCCCCCCCCACCTTTTAAATATTTCTAGATCCACACATGTTCATTTTAACACATTCTACACATTCCACTCTCCCTAAGTATTTTATTATGTCGTCCTGTCTCATTTTCAAGATTATAAGATGAAAGCCTAATTCGACTAACTTGAAATGGAGCTGTGCAGTTTTAAACTGACGAAAACTACACGCCGCATTTTCATTTCACGGGGGGAGGGGGATATTTTCCATTTTCCACTGCATTCTATAGCGGAAAACATGTTTTAACAGAATTACAGAGTAATCTCTTCTTCTTTCCAAATAATTATTGTTTTGAAACTTCGTTTATTTATATATATCATTCAGATATGCCTTTTGAAAATTGAGGTAGGTGACAAAACAGTTCTGAATACATGGTATATAAATCTCGGCGTTCGACATTTTAGCGGGGGAAAATGGACATTTTAGCGAAAAATGTGATATTTAAGCGGAAATTAAAATACATATGGACATTCAACAAATTGTTATGTAAAATATAAATATATCTATGCCTCTTCCGTTAGCCAGTCGGGCTAAGTTTTCTGCCCCCTGCGGGGGGAGGGTGTAGGATTTTGCGCAGACTTAACAGTACTATTCATTTCTCAGGATTGTAAAATACAAATCTGTATCTGTATTACATTTCCTCTTCAGAGTTATTATTACAAACGCTGATACCGGCACTTACCTGTATAAATAAAAATGAGTTGAGTTTTATTCAATATTAGTTTTTAGCTGTGTCGTTTAAAACATTGATTGTTTAAAAAATAAAAAATTCCGAGAAAAAAAAAAACCACAAAATTTTTTATTGAATTATTACAGGAAATTGTTTTTCTTCATAGTAAATGCTTTATAAATTTTCCGCTGAAATTAATGTCTATTCACACCTTTGTAAGTCCTTCGCCCATACATCTCCTATTATGTTCATTCATGTATTGTGATTTAATGATATAGTTACAAAACGCAGTGGGTGTTTGAAAAAATATATATAAAGATATTAAAATATTATCAATAATTTTTTTTAATCGTAAATATAATTCATCTATCAGCAATACCAGCTGATCAGGGTGCCCCTTGCCTAAAACTCCTTTAAAATTGCGGAAATGACATACAGCGATTCGCATGACTGCATATTGTATCGATAGAAGGGAGTCATAAAACAACATGATGGGATATATCAATGTAAACAAGTTTCACACCTTCGCGTTCTTTTGTTTATACAAAGAAACAACATAATTACGTATAATCCCATGGATTATAATATTGGTACATGCATTAATTTAAGACCGTATATTGGGACTTCTTCTAAATCGATATACGTTTAAATGCTGCTGCATCGTATAACCCGTTAAGAGAAAGAAAAAATCCAAATTATTTGTAAATATAAATTATAAATAAAGTTTTAAAAAGGTGCTTGGATGCCCGGAACGTTTATTATGGCCGGAACCAAACTTACGCGGGCCGGAACGTTTATTATAGCCCGGAACCAATATTATAGGTATTTAGCGTTCCGGCTGGAACGCTAAGTTACCCGGAACGTAAATTATGCGACACCGGTTCTGACGTTTTCCTGGCACGTAAAATATCAAAATCGTGAAAAAAGCCTGGAAAACGTCAGATATTTCGGACTAATCTCGACTGGGCGATTGGTCCCAACCTGTTTAAATATTGACTGTGAGTTGGCAGCTTGTTTTTTACTCTTTGTTTTGAATGTGAAAATATAACATTTTAAAACCTTGTTAAATGTTGACCCTGCTTTACATTTTGATCTTTGAGAAGTTTGTCTATACCATCATAAATTGATAATATGTTGACGGTGCGACCGTTGGGGCGAGCGCAGTGTTCACTTCTTTATTATGATCCGCCTCTTCAAACCGCACGAGACATTTGGAACGTCTAGACTGTGACGTCACATGACGTCGTATGTTAGCTGCATTTCCATAAACAAAGTTTAAAAAGTGCAAATATTTTAAAAAAGGACGTTTAATCTACTATCTGCAGGCAATATCCATTAAATTAAGGTGAGTTTATTTTGTGTGAATTTTTAGTTGTTGTCACCGCGTGAACGAAGTTAGCAGCGAGAACAAGAAGCGATGCATTGTGGGTCAGAATTACTGCGGAAAAAAATTCTGTTGAATGAATGTGCAGTAGTCCGAATTTTCTCTTCGCCCAGGCGTTGTCGTTAGAGCTCGCAGTGACGAGCGGCGCTTCGCGCCGCTCGCTGCGCTCGCTATTAAACATCTTTTCTATATTTCTCATGCACTTCGAATTTCCTCAAAGAAACCAAAGAATACTTCAAAAGCAAATACGATTACCGTTCATTTCTTATTGTTTTCCATGGCCTTCCAGATTTTGGTTTACCTCGTGGTATATTATGGTATGTTTCTACGACTGAATTTACACGGTCTTTGCTTGTATCACTTTCCATAATGCCCTCAACCGCCACAACACACAAATTGACAAAACAAAACACGTGTACTTTTGTTGAAAAAAAAATAGAAAGGTTCCGATTAACCGGAAGTTAAGCTGACAACTTTCATTTTCTCAAGAGGAAAGATGGGCTGGTGTTATGATACGAATATTATCAATATAGTGTTGTTATTTTAATGTGGATTGATACTTCAAGATGATCAGTGATGGCATCAGCATTAGATAGACATAGTGTGAAAGAGAAGATCCTAGAGAACGTTGCTAAAGCCGTCAAAAGTGTAAGTTTTCAATGTAAACATGGGAGTCAAATGTCACATGACTAACCCTATTGTCTTAGTCAGTAAAAGTGTGTATGATATATATGTGGCAAAAAAATCAGTCTCGTTTTCAATACAATTTAATATATGTTAATCATAATAGATTAAAACCCATTCAATGAAACCTTGGGAAAATCTGAAATGATAAAGCATGAAATATTTGTCTAACTATCTTTTTCAGATTCAAGGTAAATATGTAACAGCTGATCCTGAAAATCCTGTCTTCCTCGGAAATTACGATGACTCTTGTCAGAAGTTATGTGAAAACCTTGATAGAGTTTTCTTGCATGGGTAAGAACACTGGTTTCTCACTATCTCACTGTACAAAGGAGAAAGACAAGGAATCATATCAAATCTGAGATGCCATCTATCCACAAGAACTTCTTACAGTTGAATGTAGCCTCTTGGCTAGAAACATGTCTTCTCTGTAAAACAATTATTTTCTTTACTTAACATTTCAATACTTTGATTTCCTCTCCAGCATGTCTGTATATTTAACTCTAAAAGAAAATATATGTGCTGATATATAAAATCATTGCAGGACATTGCTTAAGATATATGTAACACTATGCAAAGTGCAAGAGTACATAACAGTAGCTTTCATGGCACTTAAATGTTACTCCATTTTGCATTTTATGTTCAGTAAGACTCACTTATAAAGAAACTTCTTGGGACACTTGTAAGTTGTAATATGAGTTCCTTACAACCAAACTTTTTATTTACTGCTTTTTATTAGTAAGTTATTAACTATTAATAATTATAAGTAAATTCTTATGTACTCTTTAAGCATTTCCTGAGAGTACACTTAAGTAATTGTATTTTCTTCATCACTTTAATAAAACATATACTTTGTTATTGACATTTATATACTATGGAATTGGAAAAAAAAGCTAGTGGATATTACCAGGGTAAACTTAAAAATCTTGAATAAAATTTGATATTATAAAAAGCTGGTTTACAGTGACTCATCTTGATTATTTATATTCTTTTGTTTGTTTTACAATGTCTTATTGTCAGGCTGAAGCACATACAGCATGGATACTGGAAGGTGGTGTCAGAATTTACAGACAAGCAAACTCGTAAAGATATAAAACATCTTCAGCATGTTACAACAGACTTGGGAAGAGGTATACATTTTTGTAACTTTCCCATAATGTCATTTATTATGGCAAAATATTTCATTTCCAATTTATAGTTTCAAAAGTCTATTGTTCAACTCTGGTTCATAATATATCTTTCATATAATGAACATGCAAGTATTATAAAAAAGTAAACAGCTGGGCTTAATTGAATTGATGAACTTTGTTTTGTTATAGAAGTGATCAATTCCATTTTAAATGAACAAAAGTATTGTAAGCTGATTTTGAAAGACCCCTCTTAAGCTTTGATTTATAGCTTGTATATCTTCCTTGTATGGACAAAATTCTAGAGAAATGACTTTATTTTTAAATTACAGGAAGAGCATGGCTGTTCATGGCATTAAATGATTGTTTGTTAGAGAGCTATGTGAGATGTTATGAGGAAAACATCAAAATTGTCCGAAAGCATTATGTCAAAGAGGCTCTGCTTTTAAATCAACAGGTGATATCCAAAAGGAAACATAAAATGCAGAATCAACTTTTTAATGACATGATTGTTTAAGTCATTGTGGTTGTAAAAAAGATTGAATTTGTCTTTTTAAGCAAACAGGAAATATATACTTGTATAGTATTATCAATATAACAAACCAATTCAGTGTTTTAGCTGTATTTTTTTCAAATTGAAATGAAGCACATAGTATGTAATCAATGTCCTCAGGTGCTCTTTTTCGTAAAAGTTACATGATATAAAAAAACAAAATCAATGCTATCTTTAAATTTTTTTTCTTTGCAGAATGTTAATGTGTTGTTGACTTTGACTGCAGGCTTAGAGTTTGTAGTGTTTCAGTTAGATTATGTAAGTTATAAAATATTACATTTAGTTTAAATTTATCTAATATAGATTATATTATAAATCTATATAATAATGTATTATATTTGGCAGAGGTACATGTACCATGAAAATATTTTAGACTTTTATTTAGCACCAATCTGAAATGTAATAAAATTAATTAAAATTACCATTTCAAGACCACAGTTTATTGAAAAAAGATCCACTAAGTAATACCACGTTACATTACTTGAATCTGAAAAGAGCACATTACAACAATCCCCCCCCCCTTTTTTTATTGTCAGACATCTGTGTTTAAGTACATCTTGTAAGCATCATTTTTTAATACAAAACAAATATTCATTAAATTTTTTAATCTGAACAGGATATTCCATATTTGGACTTGGGTGTATCTCCCCGCCCCAGATCTGTCTCCCAGCTATCAGTTGATGAAGACCGTGTGTCACTGTGCAGTATGGACAGTATTGCCTCAATCAGACCCTCGGTATTACACTCTTTTACACTCTACTAGTATTGTGATTATTTAATAAGTACTGTAAAACATGCTCATAATAAAATCTTTGATAATGAATACTTCAATGATGATGAAATATTTGGAATCAAAATTATACAGTGTAACTATAAATGGAAATTTTCTTGAAGTAATGAGTTATGGATGTCAAGATATGAAGCATTTTGCTGTCCCTGATTCACTATAAATAAACCTATTTTGCTGAATTTAAAATAACATTGTAAAATAAATGGTAAAAATCTTCTTTTTTTTTTTTTTTTTTTTTTTTTAAATTTTCAATACTGAATTATATCTATTTTTAGAGTGCATACTCCTCTATAGAATCCGACACAAGTGACACAAGGAGCATAAGCAGCATTGATCCAAATCTAAACTCACTGAAGAGTGAAGGATGTGTGGATAATAAGGCACAGAGACTGGACTCGGTTGTTGCCGGTGAGCTTGAGAATGCAGAAGAAGAACCAAGTATCGAGGTTATTAGGCATAAAGGGCATAGCAAACATGGGCATGGTAAAAAACGGAAATCAAAGAAAAAAAGCGCTTCTCCTGTTCTGATAGAACCTTTAGATGAATATGAGGAGGATTTTGTGGAAAACGTAGAGAAAAAGTTGGTGGAAGATCCGCAGCCTGAAGTTAAACTTGTGGAAAAAGAGAAAGAACCAGGGTATGTCTCCAAATTTAGAGAAGAGGAAAAGCTTGAAGATATTCTGAGTTCTATTGGAGAAAGTCACACAATACACAGAAATGATTCATCAGAAAATAATTTAAATAGTCAGATAGACAGAGAAATGGACAACTCTCAAGAACACATCAAGGAAATGAATGGAATTAGTTCTAATGTGAGTGAGAATGAGAATAAATCACCAGAGGTTGATGTGTACAAAAGTCAGGAGGTAAGGGACTATGATTTCAGTGAAGTTGATGAAGACAGTGAAAAGCTCAATCATTTTCATACTGAAAACATTTCTGTAAACCAAAAAGTACCAACACCAACACTAAGTGATGAAACTGATGTGTGTTTGTCTAGAAGTGGGAATGTGCAATATGGTATTTCTAATAGCCATGACAATATATCCTGTGATATTGAAGAAAATTATGGCCAGTCTGAAAAAGTAGATAGCAAACAAACAGATAGTAAATCACAAACTTGTGATGAAAGGGATAGTGGTCCAGGTTGGCAGAACAGTGAAGTGCTTAAGAGTTCATCAGATGATCTAAGTATATACTCCTCTAGTTTTTCTACAGGAGATAAAACATCTTCAGCTTCTCAAATGCAGGACATGGTTGATCACATAATCAGCCAATCAGATGCCTCGTTACAACCACACATGTTTGAGGAAGAGCCTGAGGAGTTGATGCTGAATGAAGAGAAAGAAGTGAATCAACTCCATCCTGGAGAAGTCAGGTAGGTCGTGAAGTTGTTTTGTTGTTGCAATAAAATTATAACACCATAACTAAACAAAGATTACTATAAAATCACATATTTTTTGGTGAGGTCAAATTTTTGTGGTTTGAGAAAAAAATATTGATTCATGGGGTTTTGATTTTGTGGAGGAAAAAGTGCTGAGTTGTTACTGTATACAGGAAAATTTTTGTCCCCATTTTATTTTCGCCCCTTTAGCCCTACTTACAGATGGGCAAATTTAAATTGGGGTGAATTTAAAGAACACAGTATAATTTCTTAAACAGAGTTGTGACTGGGTAAATTTGAAATTGTTTGCAAGTTTGAAAGGGCGAAAATAACGTGGCGAAAATAACCATGTATACAGTATATATTTGAAATTTTACAATTTATGGAGGACATGAATTCATGGGTCACATTTACCTTGAAAAAACAAGATGAAACCCGCAAGAAAATTAGTGATTTCATAGTTTATCATAGAATTAATTGAACAAATCATCACTCTCAGTGTCCAAAAAAAAATATGTGATGTAAAGTCTCTAGTTTTGATCTACTACCATACTTTCAACATTCCAATATTTTAGCAATGTGATTTTAGATTTGCCCAAAATTCAGAGTGCTTGTTAATGCCTCAGTTCATACTATGTGTAGATTTTGTTATCTACTAGACATGTGTTTATAGGTTAGAGAACAACACTAGGCTGGAGCTTATGCTGAATATATTTGAAAACTCAGAGGAACAGTTTGTAAGGGTAAGTTGTATCTTACAAATTTATAGCATAAGTTTATGGATTTCAGCAAAAGTATTTTAATTATTCCTCTTTCAAATATATAGGGTTCATAGTACACTTTAAATTACATGTACTATGAAATTATCCATTCAAGTAGCTACTAAACATGTTTGACATGTGTTTTAAGTACTACTTTCACATGAAATCCACATTAAGCATTGTCTACTTATCTAAGTAAATTCAAATTTAAGTGCATTTGTAGGTACATGTATATTTTGCTGGTAACTATGAATGGGTGCATTAATTATTTCTGGCACAGTAGGTGAATCCAACTTAAATTAGGATAGTGTATTTTACATACATCATAGTTTAACCTCCGATTTACTGATCATAATTTGCTGATCAGTGATTTTCAGTAACTAAACACTCTATATTTGACAGATGTACGTGTCACGACTGGGTCACACCGATGGAGACGACCACCCTGTGTTCATACTTCTTACTGACCATGGAATCTACCTCCTAAACCAAAACCAAAGCAACTTTAAATTCATCAAGGACTGTTCTATACCGTACTCTTCTATAGACTACATCTCAGTAAGGAGTTGCCCTTCCCGTATATTTAGTTCTTTTTTATGCTATTTAGTAATTATTTTAAAATGGGGTACTTTTAGAAAGAAAATGACATACAGTCAAACCTCATCTCAAACTCAGTAGGACCAAGAAAAAACTTCAAGATATCCAAAGGTTCAAGATAATGTGGGTAAATTATGTAAAGAAAACGTTGTTGGGACTTTGAACTCACTTCAACATATCCATGGTATTTGAGATATCAGAGTTCAAGATAGTGAAGTTAAACTGTATGTGTTTCATATTTTTTGAGTAGTGGGTAACACTACTTGGTATGAATGCAGATCGAACTGTAGCTCTCCGAAAAAATATTAACAGACCGGAGAGCTTTAGTGCCACTGATAGAAAAAAACTGTATATTTATTGTGCTTTTTTCTTTTTACTGAAAAAAATCAGAAAGTGTTAGTGTATATGACTTAAAATAAGTGTGTTATTATTCAGTTAACCATCTCGGACCAGATCATCCACATTGTTTGTAAGAAACGTAGAAACCAGTACTGGCTCACAACAGGAAGTCAGCAGGTCACAAGGTAGTGTTTACCGAAAGTGAACATGTAGAATGTCTCTTACATCAAAAACTTATTGAAATTTATTCTGAAGCACCATGATTCTACTTTGGCCAAAGATTAGAATTTTCATTTATACTCCCATTTCTTATGGACAAGAAAAGAAAATAACAAAATTCTTCCTATAGTAATTATATCACAGTATGCAATTCTCTGAAGATAAGTTATTTTATCAGGTGTATCATAGACTGTATACAGGAACAGATGAAGCATCTACAGGACAAGCAGATTAGTGTTCTATCTGATGCCAAAACTCAGATGATAGCACTGAGAAAGCACATAGCAAAGGAAAGCAATTGCGAAGTAAGTGCTTTTTACAAATATATGTGTATGAAATGATAAAAGTAATGATAATGTTTTAAAAAAATACAAAAAATGGAAAGAGCAAACAACACACAAAATATTAACAAAACAGGATGAGCACTCCCTGATCCCTTGCATTCTTTGATTTAGATGTCAGAAGTAGAAATTGCTTGCTATTCTTTGGTACACTGGGGATCAGATTTAGAATCCAAGAAACACAAAATGGACACAGCATATCGGGAGGGGCACCTGCTGTACAGAGTAGTGGATTCCTCTGGGGGACTATTAGGACTCAGCAGTCAGATTTTAAACACAGTACAGGACCCCAAGTCTCTATTGTATGGACAGAGCTGGAAATCAGGCTATGTTATATTGAGGTGACATAATAAAAAAGTTTGATCTCAATGCTGTTTGAAAGGAAGTGTTTTCCCTGTGTTATTTTTGTCCAAACAATTTTTTCAACCCATTTTAAAATTTGGTGCCTTAGAGTTATGCACTCTTTGTCTTTGAAGCTCAAAATTAAATTTGCTCTTATGAGAGCAAAAGAATGGAAATGAAATTGGATCAAAACTTTTCTATAACAAATTCACAGAAGTCAAAAATGATTTTAAAGACTTACAAGAAATAACAAGCTATTTTACTATACATTTGACTGTCAATTGTACAATGTAGTTTTTGTTAATCAGAGATGGAATGTTGTGTGTGTACCCTGAGAAGAACGGGAAGCCCATAATGTTTGTCCACATGGGTGATGATTGTACCGGGTGTCGACGCTCCAGTAAGTCTGACAGAGATCACTGTATAGAAGTCATAAAACAGGACGGGTCATCTTGGCAGTTTGCATTAGCCAATGAAGAAGAGGCCAATGACTGGCTGCAGAGATTATGTCAGGCTGTAGCTGAGGGCTTACAGGTAGGACCGAGATAATTGAACGTGGCAAATTCAAGGTCACTGGCAGAAAAATGGGAAAATTTGTGTCCGGCCCATAACTTTCTAATTGACATTGGAAGTTCATACCTCATAAGAAAACTGCTTATGACCTAAAAGTGTGTCACGAACTGATCCAGGGTCATTTTGTCAAAATGAAGGTCACATTTAAAAAATTTATATTATAAATCATTGCAGTATACTTTATCACTCTGTTGACCTTTTATATACAGAGTAAGGTTGTGGGGATTATGAGCAGGCCATATCTTTTTTCACTGAAATATAATTATGTTGGGCTAGCTGGGTAATAAAAGTGTACAGGTATTTATGAGTGCATGTACATGTATATACAAGTACTGTATATATGAAGAGAGTGGCAGCTTTTCAAAACTTTACCATTAAATAACCCACAAACAACTTAAAAAAAACCCAACAACTTAGGTCTAATTTTTGTCCTTTAATAAATTAATTGCAAAAATGTTTGAGTAGTAATGATATGTATAATTATGATTTTGTGTTTTTTTGTAGAAAAAAGAATTGGCTAAGCCGAGTTGTCTGCCCTGTTGTGCTATCCTGACCTCCAACAAGCTCTTCCTTTTCCATGAGGACCTACAAATCAGTTTCTTCAGAACCCTGGGCAGTGCTAATATAGCTGATATTGTTTGTCTTCTTGTTGATCCAGCATTGAACACCTACTGTATCTTAGTGAGTCTACATACACTGTATTGTTTATTACTTCTTGGTACTTTTCTTTTGACCTTCAAACATACATGTATAGGGGTACAATCTGTATCTGAGTGCTTTAATGCATAATAAACACACCTTTGAAATTTACTTGAGATATAATTAGCTCACCAAAGCTAATAAAGTGTCCGGCGTCCGTCTGACGTGTGGTGTGTGTTGTCTGTAAATTTTTCACATTTTTGACAAATTCTCCAGAACCACTGGGCCAGTTTCAACCAAACTTTCCACAAAGCATCCTTGGGTGTAGGGGATTAAAGTTTGTTCACAGAAATATCATTAAACAATCTTTTTCTCAAGAACAGCAAAACCATTATTAGTCATATTAATACAGATGCATCCTCAGGTAGTGTATATTCATGTTTGTTCAAATCATGACCCCATGGTAGGGTGGGGCCACAACAAGAGAGTCAAAGTTTTACTAGGTATATATAGGAAAAATCTTAAAAAATCTTCTCAAGAACAGCAAATCCATTATTTGTCATATTAATGTAGAAGCATCCTCAGGTAGTGTAGATTCAAATTTGTACATATCGTGTCCCCCAGGGGAAGGAGGGGGGGGGGGCACAACAGGGAATCAAAGTTTAACTTAGGAATATATAGGAGAAGTGTTTATTAATCTTTTTCCCAGGAATGATTAGTCATATTAAGAAAGAATCATTTGTAGGTTGTGTAGATTCAAGTTTGTTCAAATTATGGGCTTACAGAGTGGGGCCACAATGGGCAATCAAAGTTTCACATAGGAATACACAGGAAAAAGTCTTCTAAACAACAGCAAATTCATGATTGCTCATATTTATATGGAAGCATCCTCAGGTAGTGTAGATTGAAGTTTGTTCAAATCATGACCCCCCTGAGGTAGGGTGGGGCCATAAAAAGTTATCAGTTTTACATAAGAATATGGTGGAAAAAGAATCTGCTGATGTCAAACAGAAGGGCCATAGTTACTCAGTAGAGCATTGTTGCCCATGGGCCTCTTGTTAGTTGTATTATACAGTTGTGGAATGGGTATGAGGGAAATAGCAAATTTATGGTTCCCCAAGGGAAGAAACTATTTCCCGAGGCGGCGAAGACGCCGAGGGAAATAGTTTCCTGCCGAGGGGAACCATAAATTTGATATTTCCCGAGGTCCCATTCCATAACTGTTTTATTATACTGAAAAAATCATGGGAGATTTATTCAACTAGAGACTCAGACATTTTATTAAAACAATATAGAGGCATTTAAATAATCACAAATGCATGCGATTAAAAATATTGTAAGATAACTAATGCATCAATACCGAGGAAAATAAAATTATCAAAACATATATAATAATTTCACTGACACTTCGAAGGATCATCGTTGTCTTCATTTTGCTAACTTAGAATTCCAGTATGATTTTGACATCGCATGTCGAAATGTTTTGACGTCATAGTTACATTCCTAATAACATTACGTCACAGACTCGAGATTCCTTGAACGCTCCGCCCACTGTTCATTTTAATTGGTTAAAATTATTAATAAATATTCATGAGGGAGTAGTCCCAGGGAGTAGCTCCGATTTTTCAGGGAGTAGTCCTCGGATGAGGGAAGTAGTATCTTCTCAGGGAAATAGACAGTTTTATGGTATTAATTTTATATAGAGTAATAACAGTAGAGGTATCATAAAGATTAATATTAATACATGTATTTTTATTAAAAAAGATTTTTATGCTGCACATCAGTAATATGCTATCAATTAGTAATTAAAGTAGACCATGATCATGACTAGGAGCAGAATTGATTTTACTGTGGATCATATTCAAATTTTATTTTCCACAGGAGTTTGAGTCCTATGATGGTGGACATAGTCAAGACAAATGGGTGATCTACTTCAATGACGAAGCTGAAAAAGAGAGGTTTTGTCAAGTTCTCTCTGACATGTGGATAAAATTTTTCCAGGTAGTGCTTCATTTCTTATGATGCAATATCAGGACACAAATGATTTGCTCTCTGACATAGATTTTTTTTCAGTTTGAAAAATGTGTAGTATACTTTAAATTTGTAAGTACACTGTGCTCAAATGATACTTCCTTACTTATGAAGTGCTGAGTATGTTGTGGTCTACAATTTTATGTAGAAAATATGGAAGACAAGAGACCACACAATAAACTGCAGTACAGTAAAACATGCTTATATTAAAGTGCCAGGGGGTGGACAATTTTAATTCTTTACAAATGTTATTCATTATTTCAATAAGTTCATTACATGTATATGTTTTAAAACAGGGAATGAAAATTACTTCACTGTAAGCATGAATTCAATATAATAAGCATGGTCACTGAATCATGTTTTACTGCGATATCATGTGTTGATCAATGATGGTGTTTTCACTAGATTGAGGAGATGCCAGTGTTTGAGATAGAAGATTTTTCCTTACAAAGAACATGTAGAATGACTGCAACACAGCTAGAGAACTCGCTCAAAGTCAGGGAACAAAAACATTAAAAAAGAAGAGCAGGATAAACTGAAGCAAAGAGCATGAACCAAAAAAAGAAAAAGAAAAATAGAGTATTACTGATTTCCTGTGGGTTGTCATTCAGTTTCAACATTTGAATGGAGGGATGTCTTTTTTTTAAAAAAAAAAAAAAAAAAAGGAACCTTATGCAATAATGATAAGCTGTGATTATTTTAAGTTAATTTTCCTTTTAAATTAATTGCTTTAAATGTGAAAGAATCAGAAAGGGAGTTTTTGATAGACTGTACAAGAGCTTGGCTGCCAATTATTTTTATATCCATCTTTATTTGAAGGTGCATTGTGGTAAATGTATTTATTTTCATTTATTTCAGCAAGTATATTTGTGAATGATTTGTGTTGACACTATTTTAAAGGCTGTTATTTGTTTTTATGTGACATACTCAATTACATGTAAATTATTGTGAAAATGAAATGGTTGATATTGTTCATGTTTTTATTTTGCATTGCAAAGACTGTTTTTAATAAAAAGAGCATCTAATTCTCTGTCATGTTATTACATTTAAAAGTTGAATTAACAATAGGCTTATGGACAATTATGCTCACCTGAGTCACCATTCTCTTCCAGACAATTAAATTGATCAAGTCTTTTTTTTAATCTAAGCACTTGTGTTCCTGAGGAAAATTCCTGGAAAACTGAAGCATCACAATTACTGAATATATGGTTTCAAATTACAAGGTGTTGTATATGTATATTTGTTTTATATATATATATATATATATATATATATATATATATATATATATATATATATATATATATATGTATATATGCAGTTAGCCAGCTGAAGGAAAAGCAACATCATACATTTTTTAGGTCTATATGATGATTTAGCCATCTGAGGAGTATAATATTTGTGGAGCCCAAAGGGTGAGATGAATCTTGTACTCTGTTTGTGGCAATAATTGTTTTATTATAGGATCGATGATTAAATGATACATGCTTGTTAAGCAAATCTTGCTATCTTTCCTGATTGTTTAGATTGGTTGAAGTTCTAGCCAAATATGATGAAAGAAGAAAGATAAAATAAGTCAGGGTCCAGATCAAATAACTTCATAACCAAGTGTATCAATTTAGAAGTTCTCAATCTATTTTGAGACCAATGTAGAAAAGTAAATAATAGACGATCATGTGCAGGTGAGCATAACTAAGCTTGATTTCTAGAATGTTGGACCTTGGCCAATTAGAGAGCTCTGAATAATAGTGATTTTTATAATTCTTAATATTCATTTTTTTTTTTTTTCATTATTCTGAAGTATTGATCTTGCATGCATGTGTTCATTATAAAGATGTTTTAGACTGTATGTGCTTTTTCACAGAACTGAAATCAAATTCCTTTGACATACCAGTACACTGTGTTTTGTCAATATGCTACTTTCACAACATTCCTTGTATTTTGTCAGTGTTGGACTTGTACAATGTTAGTAGGACATCATTATAGTGGACCTCCAGGGATACTCAAGTCACAAAATTGGTAGTTTCTCATATCCGGTAAATATCTCCTTATCCATCTTTTGATTACAAAATATGACAGTAATAGACACAAATTCAAAATAAGTGAGTTAATTTGCAAATCATTTTTTATAATTCAGTAAAGAAAACTGACACATATTTGTGTGACCTTTATTTCCATCACAAAAACAAGTATGAACACTTAATTCACATATAATTGCAAAACATTTAATATCGTGCACAAATTTCTGGTCTCTGTTACTGAAGTTGCTTAAATGTGACCATTGCACACTTTAAAACTTCATTTTTTGTGCATGTATCTGATATTGTAAATATAATATATATATATATATATATATATATATATATATATATATATATATATATATATATATATATAGAAAATTGATTATTAAAATAAATTGTTTTAAATTTAAAATTAAAAAAGATCATTAAAATATTATGTGGACATTTTTGTAAAACTGTTATTAATGCATAAATAATCACCCATTTTCGGCAATCTTCATCATCAATATTTTTATTATACGGTTGAGAATAAAATTTTGTGAAATACTTGCTTTCATTTGAAAATGATATGCATACAGAGTGAAAAAAAAAAATGTGGTAAATTAAATTGAACACTTCAGCAATTGAAATTTACATCAAAAGAATCTAAAATTCTACTGATTTGGAAGCAGTATACATTGCAACTATAATAGCACCTCTTCACAACCAATACTCCATTATTAGGGGACTTCCAATATAGTGAACATATGCATAAATTTATAAACAAAACATCTTGTCAGAAATTTAAAAGCTGAACATGTATTGTAATACAGCAATTCTGTCCAAAAATTGTGTGTGTGTGTTATATATCTGCTGAAATTTTGACTAAACAAGCAAACAACATAAGACATTGCACAATAACAATAATATTTTATCAATGTAACAACTAGTAACAATTTTAGACAATTGCACAATCTGTGGGATTTCATAAACATTTTGAGACAGCAATTTTAAGTCAGGAATCATAAGGTAAGATTAGAATTGTGCTGTGGACATCTCCAGCTCTAGTTGTTGCTATTTCTTTTTATGTGCTTGCTCTGCTGCAGCTCTGAAAGTAAAAATACATGTATAGCAAAAACTGTGCCTGAGTTTTTCCCCTGGTTTTACAAATTCCACACACAGGCATTGCAGACACATAAATTAATTTTTAATTTTTTTTCACAAAGCAATAAAAAAATTTCAGTCAACTGAAAGCATTTTTGCACCATAATACATGTAGTCTTAAAACTTTAAATATATATAGTTGCTCACTTTGCTTCAGCCTCTTTTCTTTCTATTAGTTGCCTCTTCCATAGAGGCATGTTCTTAAACCTGGCTTCTATTTCTTCAAGCTACAACAAAACAATTTGATATATTTATACAGAAGGATACATTCCAATACTAGTGAAATCAAAATACAGAACAATTTCTAACTTCAGTTGCAAAATCATAAATAGGCACACCATATTTGTGAACTATCATAGTGTAAACTAAAATACTATTCGCAAAATATTCGTGAGTAAAAGCAGGTTGCTGAAGACAAACAAAAATTAAAAACCTAGTATTATTTATAAGATTCCAAAAACAGAGGTTACTGCTTTCATCAAACCTTGTCATCTACAGTAGAATTACTTAATTTGAGAACCTTATTAACTTTAGCATAATAAAAATAACAAACAATAAACACAGAAATAAATTCATGGCAAAATCTCCTTCCCTTCACAAAGAACATGAAAGAAAGATACTACATATGGATACAAGAGTGAATAAACCATCTTGACACTGACTAATCTCAGAATCACTTAGCTATATGTTGTCTCATATCAGTTTTATTTTTGATGCCATAAAGCCTACGCCACTGTGTTACAATGTTACAAAAAGTTCTAATAGGCAATAGGGCAAAAGAAAAAAATCAAAGGAAATTCAGTTTTTGTAGTTATAATAGAAAAACAACATACCTTCCTCTTTTCCTCGTGCTCTTTAAAAGCTTTCTCTGCAACATTTCTGGCCAACATTTGTCGTTTCCAATCTGGCATTGGGTTTCCAGATTTATCTACACTTTCAACTTGGTCCAAGAAATTTTTGGGATCAAAGTCTCCCTCTAATACAATTTTTTCTTTCTTTGGCTACAATGAAAATACATTTCACATTCAATGACATATTTTCACGTGGCAGTTGATTGGTTTTCTTTAATGAGCTGATTCTAGGATTGCTTTACTTTCGCCATGAAAATTTAAACAAGGGGTTAATGGGCCTTGATGGTAAACCGAGTTTCTCAGGTTATGAACACATTTGGCCTGGAATTAGTCTAGACTTTTTCTAGTTTGATGAAGAATCTATAACCATCATCAAATTCGTACAGCTTGTCTCCTAGAAGTTTAGGATAAATAAAATAAACTTGAATATATGATGATTTTAGCCCCACCCTGGGATCTGATCCATTGCCTGGAAGCATCAATTTTATTTTTTTTGATTGAGGGCTAGCTGCTCATTTTAATCATGCAAAACTTTGATGTGCTACATGTCAATAAGCAAAGAACAAGATTTCAAAAGATGTACATTCAATATATGGCCATTTTAGCCCTACCCTGGGTCCTGAATGCTGTTACCCAGAGGACAGTAATTTTAGGATTTTGGTAAAGGATTATGCACTTATTGTATTCATTTAATCTGACTGCCAACTAGATGTCCTTAATAGTGGTTTCAGAGAAGTGAAAATGTTCCAAAGTCTCTGCCTATTGCATGATGCATTATGACAGATGAAAATAGAATGCAAAAGGTCACCTAGTGACTCAAGTGACTTACAAAAAGACATTCACTTGGATATTTTTAAAGAAAGGAAAATACAATATACTTTAAAAAAATAAATGCAATGATTTGGAAAGGGTTAAGGAAAAAATTCCTGCCTGATAAGAGTGTTCACTGGAATTATGATTAGCAGCTCCATTGGTTAATGAACCAGTTTTTACTGGTCCTCCAAATGAGTATATGAAGTTCATTTTTCCTTCCTCAGTTGGTTTTTTGGTTTTCTTTAAGGTTGGAGCAACAGCAGCTTTCTTCAGTTCAGCAATCAGTCCCGTGTGGGGTGGAGTAGGACTACTCCTGGCTGACCCCGAAAAGGAGGAAGAAGTGGGACTGGGTCTTTGTGAATTCTCTGACTTGTCTCTAGAAAATATAATTCCATGGCATAGAAGGGTGTTTTATATGCATCTCAAATAACATAATTTTTATATCTTTTTTTTGTTTAGAATCTTCAAAGATGTGTTTTGATAAAAATATCTTTAATATTCTCTTTTACAGTGAGCTAAATGCAAAATAAAGAAAAGTAAGGACAAGGTCATACATTCTGTACTGATTAAGTTGCATAGACCTCTCCAACATGTATCAGTATATGTGTTTAGATAAAAATATCTCGTAGTTTCTTTGAAATTGAGCCAAATGCAAAATAAAAACATAGGTAATCAGAGATTACAGAGCTCACCTCAACGAATGTTGTCTTTAAGTAAGGCAAAGTCCCACACTAAACTAATAATCTAGGAGTGTGCATCCCTAGATGCAACATTTATGCAATTTTGGTCTGACAGGGCTTGCAATTACTTGGGAATAGACTTATCTGAAAACTTAAAACTAGTCACTCATCCAGAAAATGTAAGTCAAATCCAGCATCCGAAGCAAGTTTTGAGATTGTTCGTCCCTTGATGCATCATCCATGCAAGTTTGGTTCAGATAGGCCTTATAGTTACTTGGAAATGAGATCTGCTCCAAAAACTTTAACCTGGTTACTCATCCGGAAAATGTAGGTCAGATCCAGCATCCGAAGCAAGTCCAGTAGTGTACATCCTTAGATGTATCATCCATGCAAGTTTGGTCAATATAGGGTTTATAGATACTTGGAAATGACATCTGCTCCAAAAACTTTAACCTGGTCACTCATCCATAAAATATAGGTCAGATTCAGCATCCGAAGGAAGTTCAGTAGTGTGCATCCTTAGATGTATCATCCATGCAAGTTTGGTCAATATAGGGCTTATAGTTACTTGGAAATGAGATCTACTCCAAAAACTTTAACCTAGTCACTCATCCGGAAAATGTAGGTCAGATCCAGCATCAGAAGCAAGTTCAGTAGTGTGCATCCTTAGATGTATCATCCATGCAAGTTTGGTCAATATAGGGCTTATAGTTATTTGGAAATGAGACCTGCTCCAAAAACTTTAACCTGCTCCAAAAACTTTAACCTGCTCCAAAAACATTAACCTGGTCATTCTTTAGCTGAAATTGCAGCATCTGAAACCTTGACTGGTACAATAAAACACACTAGAAGCATCCTCCATGCATCTCTGACTAATATAGGCCATAGAAGTACTTGAAAAGAAAACTGCTCCAAAAACCTTAACCTGGGACGCCGACACCAACACCGAGGGTATTACATAAGCTCCCCCAACTTCGTTGAGGTGAGTTAGTAAGGTCAAGGTCATGGTATAGATCTATGTAAAAAATTACACAGTTATATAGTTCTCACCAATACATAACAGTATATATTTTAAGATAAAAATAACATTTAAAAAATTCTTTGAAATAAAACCATAGGGTCAAGGTTAAAGGGAAGGTCATGGTCAAATGATTTTATTGCAGTTGAATAGCTCTTGAATAATTTCTTTGAAACTGAGTTAAAACAAATTTAAGAATTGTACAGTCAAGGTCACAGAGAACATCTAGGTTTTAAAAAATGATGCAGTTGAATGGCTCTCACCAATATGTATCAGCTTATAAAGTTGATTAAAATATCTTGAATTGCCTCTTTGAAAGTGAGCTAAAAGAAAATTTAAGACAAGTGAGGTCAAAGTCAATTGGACGGCCAAGATTAAAAAAAATGTTGAGGCATTTGAATAATTCTCATGTATCACATATATCAGCATATGAAGTTATATAAAATATCATGATTAGTTTCTTTGAAACTGAGCTAAAAGAAAATTTTAGACAAGTGAGGGCAAGGTCAAAGTCAAAGGGAGGTCATGGTAAAAAATGTTGATGCAGTTGAATAGCTCTCACCAGCATGTATTAGCATATGAAGTTTGATAAAAATCTGAAATAGTTTCCTTGAAACTAAGCCAACACAAATTTAAAAATAGGAAGATCAAGGCCATGGAGAAGCTCAAAGTGAAAAAAATTGATGCAGTTGAATAGCTCTCATTAATATGTATCAGTATATGAAGTTTGATAAAAATATCTTGAGTAATGTCTTTGAAACTGTGCTAAAAGCTAAGTGAGACAGACGGACAGACAGATGGACTGGACAAAGACAGAAGGATGGAAGATGGACATGACAAACCTATCCGGCCATATTCATGGCGGGGCATAAAATTGCCATCTAAGTTATCTGTTAACATGGAGTAAAAGTATACATTAGAACTCTGCGATATGCATGCATATCTAAAGGAATCTGAAATGTGCATACTAACCTAGGCTCAATTCTGCTACTGCTGATATTTTCATGTTCACAGTTGGTTGACTCCTCCCCATTGACCTGCACAGTTTTGACTTTGTCATTGAGCTCTGTCAGTAATAATGTCCTGCTGCTTCTATAGGTATGGGGAGACAACTGTTCCACCGCTTCCTTCTCCACTCCATCCATCCTGCCTCTATTGTGTAAAGGTGGCACCTGAATAATAGGGGCTGCTGGTCTCTGAGTCAGGGGAGGTAACTCTCTGACCCCACTATACCTCTGTAGGAAATCTGAGGTACCAAAGGATTTGGTCCGGGTAACTGATTTGTTGAAATGGATTATAGAATGCGTAGAGTCAATGTCTGGCTGACTATGTGAGGAGTCCTCTAGGTTATCAAATGAGGTGGTACTTTGAGAAGATGTATGGTTGACTGGTTCAGTTATGTCCCAGTTATTATTTGTCTCATCTGACAGCTCAATTTGTCTGTAATCTCTCTTTTCACATTCTCCTGTCTCCTCTGAAAGTGTGCAAGATCCAGAATCTTCACAATCTAGGAATTGAACAAAATCAATGTTAATTTGTCAATATACTGATACATAATGCACCTAGACACATAATCACTAACTATTAAACAACACCACAATTTTGCCTACAGCATATTTACCTTGTAATCAACAAGATTTTCTATTTCTCAAGAGTAAATGCACATGTATATTGACATTCAAATTGACAGGATCTCAACTAAATGATTTTAGTGTGTTACCCAGTTTTTCAAGTCAAACACTAAGTTTCTGCGTATATTTTTCCCATATGAAACATCAAGAAACATTACGTTGTGGCATTGGAGCCCTATAAAACTGTTACACACAACTCATAGTGAAAATTAAATCCTTTAAGAAAATCTAGTGGTTACTGGTGCAATTCCATTTATTCATTCCTCAAAATGTTTGCAAAAGGTGAGTTTGGACCTTTGATTTCAAATGAAAGTCTTGAATGTAAGAATCAGTCAAGGTGTAAACAGGAAACACCTACCTTGCCTTCTGGATCTACTGGCAATGGATGCTGTCTCTAAATGATGGGTCCAAGACTGGTTGGCTTCTTCCACATCAACACCAACTTGCTACAAAACAAAGACAAAAGTTTATCTTACCTTAAAAAACAATATGCATTTTCAAAAATTATCGCATATTATGAATGGATGATTAAAAGTACCTCAAGCATATAAGAATATACTTACTTGTTCATAAAACATTTAATTTGGCAAATAATGCACCAATGCTACCATAACAAGATACATAAATAATAAACATTAATTAAGATAATGTATTGGTACTATAAAAGTATAGACTAGTATGCCATAACTCACAAAGAATTGATAATTATCTTGGGAGAATTCATAAATTATTCAAAAATATATTAGTGATGTCCTGTTGGGTGCATCAATGAGATATCTGTTAACAAAGTCTGCATAGTCTCATTGTTATCCAGTTATCTTTATTTTTATCCATTCCAATTCTAGCTCATTTCAAATATATTTAGTTATTGTAAAGACTACTTTTCATTGCCTTCCTTTGACCAGGATGAGTATTAATAGTCTCAGGATCAAGACAACCCTCTAGAGATAATTAACCTTTGTTCTTTAGTATGAACTCTTCTGCCTCTGCATTATAAAATTTATATATATCTTTGAAACTTTTTAGTGGTAGGGTTTAAAGGAGTCTCTTTTCATATAATTTTATTTCATTTTTGTCTTAGAAAATTAATCTTTTAAGCAGACATTATCAGAAATCCTTATTAACTATCAGGAAACTTGACAATAATCTGAATTGGATCAAGAAACTTATGCATGTAGTCTCCAATATATTTTTTTAATATAATCACAGTGTTACAGGTAGATGTAAAAACTATTCCCTTTAATTTGTTAATATAATTAAACCTTAAATTAGAATGCAAATAATTACAATTGGCAAAAAGATTGACCCAAACTCATGCAATGCTAAAGAAGTTCAATCTCTTTTCACAAAAGAAACAAATGTTTTATAAAAGATAATTTATTAAATATCACAACATATTGCACACAAAGAAAATTCAACAGCTGCACAATGTGGAAACAAATACCTGGTACATCTAAAGTGAAATAAGTAATGTATAAAAGATCATAATATCTGGCTGGAAAACTTAAATACAACTAACAGTAATAATTACAATTAACATAGCATACTACTATTAATATAGCAAAATAGATATAAAAGATGGATAATTAAACTGCAATTCTGCAGTATTCTTTAGTCCCTTAAGAGATTTTGTGATTCCAGATTGAAGAAGACTTGAAAATGAAAAGAGCATGCTGAATATGACTTGAATTTGGTTCAAACTTAAGCTCAATATATATAGATATACCAGTAAACTAAATAACTGCATGTACTGGTAACCAGTTACTAGTGTAAAGGACACATTCTCTGATTATTAGGTGCTATGTAGTGAGGAATATGGTAAAATATAAAGTGAGATTTTAACAATTCAAAACAAGACAACACATTCATATTCTAAAAAGCATATATCTTATTAAGGTAAGCTGTTAGGTTTCACACATACATACATGTACATATTATAGAGCCCTATCATGACCACAATGCTCAGGAATATCCATCATCTGACTGTTTCACATTCATCCATACTGAGTAATTTTTTCAAATTAATATGGCAATCAAAGGACATGAAAAAAAAAACAACCTCACTGATAAAGAGGATGAAGAAATGTGTGGCTTTATTAATCTGTCATACTTTTCTTCAGAAAAAATACCTCAGTCAAATGAAGGCTATAGCAGACATGTTAATATTCCTATTGCTCCAAATGTTGCACATATCTTTGAAAACACTAGACAATTTGAACTAGGTTTTAAAACTTAAGAAATAGCACTATATAAGAATTTGAAACTTTATATTTGAAAGACTGACAAAGGACAATCTTTGACTAGAAAACTGATGTGAACTTAGGATCACATCAGCCAAGAAGCACAAACACAGCCATCCTATCCCACTTTTGAGTAAACCTATTTCTCATTCAATCCTTTTTACCTTGTGAAATACATGTATTTTATCTAAGAATTTTCTTTAATATTTTAGTTTAGCTAAAAATCACCAAGTAAAAATGATGTTTTTATCAAAAAATTTTATATATAAAGTATACAAGTTCAATATACTGTATTTCTATCTCTACCACTTTTAATATCTTTCTATAAAAAAAATAAATTAAGTTGAATCTTCTAAGACTTTTAATAATAAACAAAAACAGTGAGAATAATAATTTTGTATTTATCTTTTGTTATAGGAATTAGGAGGAACTGGGTTATTTGACAGCAAAGAAATTATATCACTATCTACTTTTATAATTAATTTTATAATTTTTTATTAATTTTATAATTAAAACCCTCCACTCAATACCATGTTATTAATAAGATTAATTGGTGCATATACTGTTGTCAGCAATCATTAGAATAAAAAAAATTGAAGAAATCTTCACTGGGCAACACATGTAATCACATAAGGTTCTGCTAACACTTAGGTGTATTCATCTTAAATGTTGTTAGTAAATTTCAACAAAATACAAACTGTTAAAGCAGAATTAATACTATCATCATTGAAGCTTAATGAATTATAAACATATATATGTATTTGAAAAAATAAAAACAAGAGGGCCATGGGCTACAATGCTCATCTGAATCATCTTGGTCCTGCTGTTTTCTTGAACAAGGTTTTTAAAAAATCTTGGATATTCTCTTGGAGAATTTTGATTCCTTTTTGTGGCCCCATCCTAATCCCAATGGGCCATGACTTACCCAAACAATTCATGACTGATGGGGATGGTGAATATCAAACTAACTATGGAGCTCCTGGTCTGGAGAGGAAGAATTTTAAAGATATTCCTAAATATTTTGTAAAAATTTTACATTAAATAAAAAATATATGTAAAACTAAATCATTCTATCTCAATGTGACCACCCTAATCTGATGACCATGATTTAAGAAACTTGAAACTTCAGTACACAGGGATGCTTGTATATCACAATTTCTTGGCCTTGCTGTTCTTGAGAAGATTAAAAAGATTTATCCTATATATTTCTACGTCAATATGATCTCTAGCCCCTGGAGCCATGTTTTGAACAAATTTGAATCTATATAAATATCTATGGAAGCTTCACATCAGTTTTATCTTTACTATCCAGTGATTTTTTATATGACCCCATCATATTTTCACTATATCCTAATTATCTCTCCTTAAAAGATGGCATAGCTCTTCATTTGAACAAATTTGAGTCTCTTTTACCTATAAAGAATGCTTTGTGGCAGGTCTGATAGAAATCAGACTTTCTCTGGTGCAGAAGAAGTTGAAAATATACAGACAACATGACAGACTAACATACTTTTAGATCAGAATAGCTCTCTTGAGCCTTCAGCTCAGGCAAATTTAAAACCTGCATATGGTTGGGTACAATTCCTCTATGGTGAGATCATTACGCTTACCCAAACATCCCTCTACAGCAGACAAAAAAATCATTCTTTGGGGCAAAAAAATCAACAAATTTACCTCAAAGTCAAGTATGATTAAAACAAGAGAAACCCAGGAAATTTTACAACATGCTCATTAACTTTTGATTATTCATCTTGCAGAAAAAATAAGAGTCAAGTGAATGGTTACAGCTGCATTAATTGTGAATCTTCATATAGAAATGATAGCAGGATAAAAATGAAGGACTTTTGGATTCTTTTTACAAACAAATCATTTAAGTTTAATGAATACATTTAGATTTTTTTTTCATGAACTTAACATAGCTTTCTCATTTGCAGCAGTATTATCAGTCATCAATACATGTAGCACAATGAATTGACATCTAAATGCTTTTGAAATTTGTTAACTCATACTTTTAAATAATCATTATTTAGTTGAAAATGTTATCATTATTCAATTGAAAATGTTATCTTTTACAATCATCTTTTATTCAAATGTATATTAATTAACAAAAAGTAATCAAGTAATAGAAATTACTTTTAGGAATAAAATTGTGGAATTTGTTTGTTTGTTTGTTTTTTAATCTACAAAATACAGGCAAATCGTGTTATCTTTAACTCAAGGGGATCAAAAAAGAAATTTGAAATATCCAAAGATCTGAGATATTGAGGTTAAATTATATAAAGAAAAAGTGGTTGGGACTTCCATATCACTACAATATATCCTTGGTATTCAACATATCAATGTTGGAGATAACATAGAGTTCAAATGCATCATCAATTTACACATTAGACAAAATATTATACCGGTAACCATTCAATTTTTCAACGCAGAATCTGAAATACTGGTTAATAGATTAAAAAGCCCCAAAAGTTGCAATGCACTAGGATATATTTTATTCAATTAGAGGGATGCTTAGCCTATGATCTCACTATAGCATTTTGCCCCACCTGTTTAAAAAAAAAAAATCTTCCTTTTCAGACAATTTTTGTTTTTATTAATAATTTTTACATGAGATTTCAAAATTTGGAATCATGTTTACTCTAAAATTACTGATATGTAATATGAATATTGACCCATATACATAGATAATGCATATGTCACACATATATATTGAGGAAAAAAAAGACTTAAATAAAGTTTCCACTGGTATCCATGCATAGATTTGAGTAATATTGTTCTGATGTTACCTTAGTAAAACCTTACGGGGTCCTTCATCTGTCAATAATAAAAGGGTTAAACACAATAGAAAAGAGCAAAACAATGGGCCATGCCGTATATCTGACATGCAAAAAACACCATTACGGACATAGATATTACACAGCATACATCATGTACTTGAAAAATTAATGTCAAAGTCATGTATGAATGCAAAATAATTATCAAATGAACTGGAAATTGAGATAATGCTATGGGTGTTTTCAATAATACTGCATACTGATAAAATGACATTTATTAAGCTGACATTCTTTCAACATGACAATTTTACATTTCAAAGAGTGTATGCAATCAAAGCACTGTGAAAATTTTGGGAAAACACCTTTAGGTGGATTGTGTAAAAAAGTTTGATTTTAATCACAACTGAAAAACATAGAGTCCTGAAAACTTTACTCGGAATTTACAGATTTTCTGAAAACTTTACTCAAAATTGATGGATCTTTTTTTTTTTGTAAAGGACATACCTACGTAATAGAGGCAAATTAAGGTCACAACAAAGATAGTTTACACATTTTCAATCAATTAAAAGATGATAAACAGGAATTGACCCAAACTTTGGGGAACACTGATCTTGATGTTTTACAGAAAATGACCAACAGATGACATAAACTTCCATGTACTTGTAATCTCTTAAGGACTTTGTTGTAAAGTTAACACTTACTTTTACTTTGATTTCTTTAGCACACTGATCATTAGAACACCTCTCTGCTAACTCAGAGGCTGTTAAACCTTGGTTGTCTGTTATATCTGGATTACAGTGGTTCTCCAGTAGAACTCTCACAACCTGAAATGTGGACAAGGTAGCTGCCTTAATTATAAAGTGTAGTTATCCAAAGGCTGCTGTAATTACTGCTTCGATATAAAAATTAACAAAATGTAACATCTATTTTCAGCTTGAAAAAAAAAAATCAATTAGGGTATATATGTTGTTTTCATTAAGCCTTATATCATCTTTACACTCATTACCTGTAAACTGAAGGACAAAATGATGTCCTTGAAAGTTTAATCCACATCAAAAATTGTAATAAATCCTTATTAAAGTGCATACCAGCATCTGAAGACACTGGATGACAAAATCTAGAATGTAATTTAATTAATGAAATCTACAAAATTATATTGACTCAGATGATGCAAACCTCTCAAGCTGAATAATTCAATAAGAAATCCATGACAGCCAAGGGTCCCTTTTTCCTACACCACTAACTTTGAGTGGTAACAGATGTCAGAGATATTTTGGAGACCATCAATAATTACATAGCAATGACAGTGACAGATAACCGAAATTCTAGTAATTAGCAAATAACCTCGGCTTTTCCGGTCACAGAAAATGCATGATCAACAATGGCATCATTATATAGCAATTAAAATCTATGGCAACAGGTAGTCCATGTTCCAGGTAAATGTAGATAGTGCTATAAATATAGTTGTGACCAGACACATTTTATTGATTTTTAACTTCATGATGATGAATTTTCAAATGCCTTGTGAATATACATCTAAGAAGAATTGAAGACATGAGCAAAATCATACTACTGTATATCTACATAAAATGAATTGATGGAAAACTAAAGATCCAATCTTTTGAACAATATAACATCTGAGATCATAATTTGAAAGTAACTAGTATTAGTTCAATAGAAATACTTATCAGTTTTATTTCTCAAACTCTTGAAGAACAGCATTAAAATTTACTCTACGGAAAAGAGGCTTGCAAGTATTTTGCTCATAGACCTTGCATATACTTGAAACTTCTTCTTTCTTATATTCAATACAAGGAATTAACTAGAAATATGTCCATAGGACATGAATGCCCCACCCAGGGTTCCTTAGTAATGGAACATGAAAAGAAATGTACCTTGCCTCTTTGTTTAAGATTAGGGTAAATGAGGAATAGTGAGGTCAAGGTCATAGGGAAGGTGAAGGTCAGAAAAATACGACACAGTTAAATAGCTCTTGCCAATTTGAATTAGTGTATGAAGTTTGAAAATATCTTGAAAAGTTTCTTTGAAACTGTTATAAACACAACAAATAGTAAAATCAAAGGGCAGGTCAAGTTAAAAAAAAAAATTGGACACAGCTGATAAGCGCTCACCAATATGTATATGTGTTTAGATAAAAATATCTTGAACAGTTTCTTTGAAATTGAACTAACTCAAATTTAAGAATAGCTTATAAGGTCAAGGTCATGAGAAAGTCAAGGTCCAAAATTCATTTGAATAGCTTTCTCCAATATGTATCTGCATATGAAGTTTGATAAAAATATCTTCAATAGTTTCTTTGAAACTTAGCTAAATGCAAAATGTCATGTACAGACAGATGGAAGGATGGAAAGATGGAAGGATGGGAAGACAGAAGATGGACATGACTAACACTATATTCCCCTGCCATATTCATGGCAGGGCATAAAAAGTACATGTATACCAATGCTTTCCTATCTACCAGAGAATGCTTTTTAACTGTCAATGAGCCTCCCCTACCCACCCAACCACCCATGATATCATGTAACTTTGATATGAAAGAATGTATTCCAAATTTATACTTTTCATATTTTATAGAGGCATTTGTCAAAAGAAATCATTTTTACCTTACACACATAATATAAGGAATCTAAAGTATATCTATTTTAGGGTATTCAAAATTATCACATCCATAAGTCATGGGCAGCTAATTAGCATAAGCATGAAATGGCAATATTAGACTTCCTATTCATTATACATATGAAAATTTATAATCTGGCAATGATCACAAATTATCTCACAACAGTCAGTTTATAAGGCACTCAAATGTGAATCCTGTTAAAATATAGAAGAACACAAATAGTGTATTTACCCGTAATATCTTATATGGCTCTCAAATTTTCACAGCCTCTTAAACAGCATGAACATCCATTTGCTTTTAAGTTTGTATTTCCAAAATCATAATCAAACAAACTGCAACTGCATGCACACTTTATTTTTCTTCATGTCAAGGTATTCTACAGGTATCAATTCACTGTTTGTTAAGGACGTTTACCCTACGAATCACTGCAGCCCACTCAAAAAATGAAAACCTTTCTATTAAAACAGAGGAATGATAAATGTATACCTTACAAAGCAGACATACATAGAAATCTACCTTTTTCTGTTTCACAACTTGCAGTATTGATTGTCAGAAATATCAAAGTACCTTGGGTTGATGTAATCCTAGCTTTCACAGTCAACTAAGGTGTTGCCACATCCTCTGCCAGGAAGCAGGTGCAATGTTAATAAAGTGTGACTGTTATCTTGCATGACAATTGAGAAAGAGTCACCACTGGGTTTGAAAACTAAGATAACCTAGCAGTGGTTTGGAGACATTGTATCTATGTTCTATAGAAATGGTATGATAATCATGCAGGCCAGAGGTGTGGATGATAAATTAGGCTATATCCTAACAAATTATTACCTAACACTTCTGATGCCGAGTCAGGCTTTTGCCCCTCACAACAACCTTATTGGTCACCTTGTACACAATACGTACTATGCGAAAGTGTTTACATCATTACTGATTACTGTATTTCAATTTTATTAGTTTTTCGTCCATCTGTCCAGGTGTGAGTAATGTAAGGACATATGAAATGATCAGGTGAGACCCTACAAACAAATACTAGTCCACTTCTATTTAATTGTGAATAAACACAATAATGGGGAAAATTAATAGTTTGCTCTCATTTTTTTTTCTATGAATATACTTCATTTTTTTTTTGGGGGGGGGGGGGGGGGGGGGGGAGAGAGATTACAAAACAAGAGGCCCATGGGCCACAATACTCACCTGAGTAACTTTAGCCATGCTGTTCTTCAGATTTGCAAAAAGATATTTATATTCCCATGAAAAATTGTGACTCCATATCATAGCCCCACTCTAACTCTAAGGGTCTCTGAATCCACACAACATGGGGATGCTTCAATATCATTATGATTAACTTGGCCTTGAAGTAATGGAGAATTTGTAAAATTTTATCCCTATTTTAGCTTACTGTAACTCACAGTGTGTAATAAAAAAAAATGAATCCACTCAACTTGTGAATGTTTGCATATGTATGGCATGACTGTGGTTCTTGAGAAGACTTTCAAAATTTATTTCCCATTAAGGCCCAATATAAATTTTGATCCCCTGTTGTGGACCCACTCTATCCCCAGGCACCATGATTTGAACAATTCAAAATCTACAACACCTCAGTAACCTTTCACAAATCTTTCATCTTTTCTGGTCCAGTGCTTTTCAGAAGAAGATTTTTAAAGAGTTTTTCCTATATTTTTCAATGTAAAACTTTGATCTCTTACTGTGGTCCCACCCTACCCCCAGGGACCAAGATAAGAACAATATACAATCTACACTACCTCAGAAAGCTTTCAAATAACTTTCAAATCTTCTTGCCTAGTGGTTCTTGGGAAGAAGATTTTTTAATGACCTTACTCTATTTTTGCATTTTCTTGATAATCTCCCCTTGGAATAGGACTTGGCCCTTCAATTGAACAATTTAGAATGGTGTCTTCTACCTATTCCCACTTTTTAAAAATCTCAATTCCACCTATTCCCAATTGAAAATAACAATAGATGTTTTGATAGTAATTATGCTTTTACGCAAATTAGACTAATTACATCCCATCTTAGATTTACCTGCATTTTGTACATTTTAAGACAGAAAATAAATAGATATATGATAAAAATGATTTATTTAAATTAAATATATGGATTTTAGAAAATAAAAAAAAAAGATTTATTTAAAAAAAATATATTTAAATAGCGAATTTTAGAAAATAAAATTACTGGGGAAAACAGGATTAAATCTACTTAAAATTTTCCAATTTTTCTTTATTATTTAAATATTAGTTAAAAGTCTGATTTATAATTTAAAAAAGTCAATATACCTGTCCTCTATTCCAAAAGGTGTTCATTAATCACTGTTTATACAGTAGTTATATGTTTATATTGTTAATTATTTGTTTACACAAAAATTCCACCTATTCCCACATAAAATTTTACAATTTCCTACCTGATTTTCAAAATGTAGGAATAGGTAGAATAAACCTTCAGAACCCCCGTCACCCAAGAATGTCAATTGTGCCAATTTTGGTTAAAGATGGCCGAGTGGTTCTTGAGAAGAAGTCAAAAATGTGTAAAATTTATAGTTGGATGGACAAACAAACAGGTATAAATGTACAGCTAGACAGGTGGACAGATGCCGGACAACACTGGTGATTACAAAAGTTCATTTGAACTTTCAGCTCAGGTGATCTTAAAACCAATTCTTAATACATTTCTGATATACTATAGCACAACAGTAACCTTGAGATGTCCCACTTCTGCTGCATTGTGTAGAGGACTGCCTCCAAGGTTATCCAGGGTGACCTTGGCCCCTCCCTCTGTCAACAGCCATCTAACGACTTCAGTATGACCCATGCTTGCTGCATAATGAAGACAGGAAGCTCCGTCAAAGTCTCGTTCATTAACATTGCATTTCTGTTCCAATACCTGTTGAGGAAAAACATTGTTTGTATTTGAACATGTATTGTATGTTTTAGTTAAAAGATAAAACTCCTGAATCTGAAGGCTATGAGGCAATGACAATAAACAGTTTGATAGAAAAAGGCTGTTTTTTAAAACACTGATTCTACAATATATTGTAGTACCTCAGAGGATAATTTAATGACTGGAATTAGTATATATGGTATGTTCAGATGGTTTCTTTGCAATATTTTGACATGCATTAGCCATGGTCACTTTTCTTCTATTGAAATTTCACTATGTTGATTAATTGTTATTTTTGTAAGAACAATACTACAAACCAAAAAAAAACAATGAGCTGTGTATTGTGCAACTGTAAAATCATTATATGAATTTTTTCAGGTCAAATCTGTCCTGTTGTCAAAGATATTTGAAAGCTTTTTCCTAACAACAAAACAAGTGGCCCATGAGCCACAAAGCTCACCGGAGACACAGCTTGACTCTGTGATATTTCATCAGATTTTAAAAAGATTTTCCCCTCATTATTCACATGAACAAGAAATGTTATGTGCCCTCCTGTGGCAATTTTGAAAAGGATCAACTTTAAATTAAGGATATCTGACTTTGATCTCAATAGGGATCACCTACTACTAAGAGTATGTATTAACATGTACTGTATGTGTACTTAAAAAAGCAGGCTTCATATTTTAGCGGCTTTGGCACAAACAACAATGCGCTAATTCATGAATACCGCTAAGAAATCATTTATAAATACAATATACGGCACGGACATGTATAGCGCTAATTCATGATTTTGCCAACAACTCCATACCCAGTGATTGCGCTAAATTTTGAATACGCTAATTTATGTACACCTACAGTATCTTCTTGCTTTTATTTTTTTTTTTTTGTTGAAACACATGTAAAGATTATTGATTAACATTCCACTCGTGAATTCATATTCTTGCAATTTGAGGTCAATAAGTAATTTTGAGATATTAAGTACTCAGACACATAAAATAAGGAATCTACATTATCTGTCAAAGGGTTCTCAAGATATCTTCAAATGTCCAGAGTAGTTTCCCTTGACCTTTAACCTTGTGGCCTCAAAATTAATAGGTCATCTACTCTTTAGGGGGTAGCAGTGTATCAAGTTTCATGTCTGTCAAGCAAAGGGTTTTCAAATTATTAAGCAGACAATATATTCCTATGCTAAAGTAGTTTGATCCTGACCTTTGACCCTGTGACCTCAAAATCAATAGGGGACATATACTTCCTACGGGTACCAGTGTACAATGTTTGATGACTGTAAGGGAAAGGGTTCTTAAGATGCTGATTAGACAACACTTGGTCTACTGAGTGTTGTCTACTTTTATCTTCCTTTGATAAAATCAGATCTCTGTTGTTGCCCATTCCCTGCCTGGGGGGCCATGATTTGAATAAATTTGAATCTGCTCTTTCTGATGATGCTTGGACATTAATCAGACAAAACATGGCCCTGTAATTCTTCGGAAGAAAATTAAAGATTCTTTTCTATACATTTCCATGTAAAACTTTGATACCCCCTACTGTGGCCAGCCCCACCTCCTCCTGAGAGGATTTTTTTAAAAATTGCCCAGTATATAATATTCCTATATGTACAACTTTGATTCCTTATAATGGCCCCTCCCTAGCTCAGGATCCATGATTTGAGCAAACTTGCTTTTTCGCTACATGATGATGCTTGCAAATATCAATTTAACAAAACCTGTCCCTGCTGTCATTGAGAAAAAGATATTTAAAGAATTTTTTCCTATCTATTCCACTGTAGAACTTTGATCCCTTCAGACCCTTCTTGTGCCGACCTAAACCCCAAGGGCCATAAATTGACCAAAGTTGAATCTGCACCCACTACAAGGATCCTTGCATACAATATGACTATCAAATCATGGCTTTAATGTTCTTCAGAAGAAAGAAATTTTTTTAAAGATTTTTCCCTATATATTCCATTGTAAAACTTTGATCCCCTATTGTGGCATCACCCTACCCCCATGGGTCATAAATTGAGCAAACTTGAATCTACTCTATACAAGAAAGCTTTCATGTAAGTTTTGTCTTTTTGGTCAAATGGTTTTTGAAAAGATTTGTAAATGAATCTACCATATTTTATATATTTCTTAATTATCTCCTCTTGAAAGAGAGCATGACTCTTTATTTATATAAACTTGAATCCCCTTCACCCAAGGATGCTTTCAGCCTTTGTGGCAAGTTTGGTTAAAATTGGTCCAGTGATTCTACAGAAGAAGTTGAAAATGTGAAAAGATGGATGTCGTTTACCCTTTGATCAGAAAGAGTTTTTGGCTCATGGGGGCTAAAAATTGTGAAATTTCAATAGTGTTCTTTTAATTCATACAATAACTTACCAAAAACTTCACACAATCAAGATGTCCACTTTGGGATGCAGCATGTAAACATGACATGCCATCATATGCATGAATTTTAACAGTGCCACCTTTTTGAACTAGTAACTTGAGGACCTCTAAATGCCCACTCTGTGCAGCAATATATATTGAGGTTGCTCCATTTGTCATTTGCATGTTCACAGATCTGTAATAAAATAGCATGACATTTTCACAAACAATGCATAGGGTAATCAATTCTACAACCTTATACTAAAAAGGACATTTTGAAAGAGTAAATACTGAGAATCCTATCATCTCATACAGACAGACACCGCAGAAAAACTCACTCAAATGCCCCTTTACCCAACATTATTTACAGCAAATCTGAAATTTTGTTTTGTCTGCGCACATGATCAAGAAATCATTAACATGTTTTTCAAATTTAAGCATTTATAAAGTACATGGAGAATTACAATGAGAAAAAATGCCTATGGTTTGAGAGAACGGCCTCATGTTTAAGTTTTGCATTAAGATTTAAAAACTTCCCATCATAAATGGAAAAATAAAAAAAAACAAATATTTAGAAAGAATATAGGGATGGAGAAGTCTAAATATGTCTAAAGCCAGAATACAATATTTATGTATATCCACACCCCAGGCCCAAGACTTAGTAAATTTTTCATTAAATTTGAGGCACTGGATTTAAGGGCAATATCAAAATTTTTAACAAGTATCGTAAGTACTACATTTCTCTAAACATACTCAATTTTCTGGATCATGCCATAATTCCTTGCAAACTTTGATCATACATGGTGGTCAAAAGATATATGTGACCAAGATATAGTTCATACATAGAATTCAAAGGAAGCATATTTGTGTCCTCTCATAAAACCTATATACCAAAGCCTTAATTCTTTAATAACCTGTGGCCCTTTCACAAATTTCTTACGACTCTTAGAATAATCTAACTGTGTCTCAGGACAAGCCCTCACCACAGTTACAGTACGTCCCATATAGTTGCAATGTAGCAAATTGGAGAGGATCCACTCGGAAATGGCTTTGAAGAATTCAAAAGGAGTTCCACTGAAAATAACTACTACATTACTCACAACAAACCCTTTTGAGTTTGTATATGCTTTTAAGTTTACCCTAAGAAATAATCCATATAAACATGATAAAGACAAAAATTCAACTTATTTTCTCAACATTTTTTTTTTTTGCTTCAAATTTATAAGCCATGTTGACATTCAATTGGAACTCTCTGGATTATTGTAGTTAATGTGTAGAATAGAGTTATCTGCCTTGTTTATTTTGCTACATTGCCAACACATGGAACAAATTCTATCATTAAACTGGTCCGTAAAACAAGATCATTTTTATGACAGAATGTTCTAGCTAGATCTAAATTAAAGTATATATAAATATATATTATATATATATTATATTTTATATATATATATTATATATATATTATATTATATTATATATATATATATATATATATATATATATATATATATATATATATATATATATATATATACATATGTAAATGTTTTTGATGATATTCAATGAATTTATACAACTACGCTCATGCCAATAGTCACAATGTCAGACCTATTGTTTAAACAATTCTTCAATATTCTTTATATCTGATGCATGTGTTAATTTCTCGTAAGGATTTAATATAGCACACACCTAGGAGAATCCTTTAATAGAATTTGAACAGTGTCCACACTTCCACCAGAAGCAGCAAAATGAAGAGGGAGAGCACCACTTGCTGCTTTTATCATCGCCAAATCACCCCGAGTATTATCAAGAATCCATTCTACAAGTGAAGCATGCCCATATCTAGCTGCCAAATGCAATATAGTTGCTCCAGTGCCATCTTGATCATCTGGAGACAAAGGAGGTTTGGCTTGTTTCAATAACCATTGTACAGTGGCTAATTTCCCTGAAGCTGCAGCATCATGGGCTGGAGTAGAGCCCACCATGGACCGCTTGTGGTGGTTGAACTGTCTGGCCTGAACAAGATACTCTATAACATCTACTCTACCCGCCCTTGATGCATAATGGCAGCAATTGGCCCCCTTCTCATCTACGATCTTGTCTGTGAGTTGTTCAGAACTTAACGTCGACAGAAAAGAAATATTTCCATCTGTAGTTGCTGTGAAAATTTGACTTGTCACCATTTTTTTCAAAATATTGTCCAACCTACATTACTCACTCGCACTTGTCGTCTGCAACCGGAAGTTACCTCACTTTTGGAAAAGAAAATCACAAAACGAAAATGTTGTAAGATCGAAGCCGACCAAATGTCATTGTAATCGATATTGTAGTTCATACTTTTCTTATTCGAACGGTAATCCAACTTTTTTAAATACCATTTTTATTATTTATTTTTTTTTATATAAAAGTGCAAAGTTCTGAAACATAAGGCAAATAAAAAATGAAAACTATCATATGAATGGAAAGCAGACGGTAACAATGGCGGCGCGTCAAAGTTGTCAACAGCGGCAAACATGAATTAAGAGTTAAGAAATCCACCAGTGAATACCATCCAAAGTTACTATTGAACTAAACAGTAATTTTTAGCAGTAATGATTAACTTTTGATACAATGGTGCAATAAATACTCTTTCGTTTGCCTTCATGAAGTGGATTAAATTATCGAGTAGCATGAGTAGATCTAGGTCACAAAACTCAAAGCTTTCTTTGTTAATTGTAGTCATATTGTGGAGTAAATGGCGAATACATTACATCTAACAGGGAATGCGTCGGAATTGGATAAGTTGATCCAAAGCTTTGGTGGGTATTTTTTTCTACATCTGATACACAGATGAATCTTGAAAATAAAATTCATTTTATTACACAAATTGCAATAATGGGCCATTGATGGTACTCCTCATTATGTTCACACCAGTTTACACTGACAAGCTTTATGAATGAGAATAGGACATTTCTCAAAATTTTAGTACAATAAACATCATTATCTTGAATATGATGGGTCTGAAAAAAACTTGAGATACCAAGGGTTCAAGATAATGAGATTGAAATACTTAAAGAAAAAGTGTTTGGGACTTCTAACTTGCTTCGGCAAATCTATGGTATTTAAGATAATGATGTTTAAGATGTGGAGGTTCAACTGTACCTATTATTTTTTCAGAATTTGAGAACCAGCAATATGTGAAACTGATAGAAGCTGAAAATCAACAGATTGATGGTATTATCCTGACAAAGTCTCATCAGTTATATGATAAAGCATTTTGGAATATTATAATTATTGTTTTTTCCATGTAATATTTTTAAGATATCTTTCTTTAGCTTTAGAAAAAGATTTACTGGATAAAAAGGATACCATTACCAGACTGCAAGAGCAAATATCAAGTTTTGATGAAGAAACAAAGAGAGCCCACAAACAATTTACTATTAACAGAGAAAATGTAGAAAAGTAAGAATTGAATTAATTATGTCTGGAAAATAAAGTTTACATAACTGTGATTTTATTTAAGAAATAAGGTATCATTTTAAAAGTTTTATCAGGATGTAAATACGGGTTGGTCATGTGATCAAATCCCATAAAGCCCAAAGGACTTTATGGTAGATTTAATCACATGCTAACTCGTATTTACATCCCGATAAAACTTTTTAAATGATACCTTTTTACTTATATTTACATTTGTGACTTGATTTATTACAAATAGTAAGGTACTGAAGTTTTAAACCCATAAATGATTTATTTTTTCAAAACTCGTATACGGTATAAATTGAATGTTTTGGACACGTTGATCACTTATGATGTCACTATGAAATTACATTGATCATTTATGACTAAACAATCAATTTATGGTCACATGACGAACTTGTTTTACACAGGTGTAAAAATGCATTGTTCCAATAGTGTTATATGAGAGAAAACATTTGCAAATGTAAATATTATGCAAATAAATAGTAGCCAAACAAAATATAAACAATTTTGACATGAAAATTTGGCAAACATTACCAAAAACATTCACAGACACTACTTTCTCTCACACACACACAGAGAGATCTCGCCTTATACACACGCACACATACAAAATTCTATAAGCACCCAGAAGGAAATTAGTTCTCAAATTGATTGGCTTTGTCCTTAAGACAATTTTAAGGAGTGATGATAATAAGGGACACAGGGTAGAGTGCATATCAAAGAAAACCTGATCAAATAACTTTTTATTTTGAAAATGTTTAAGTAATTAATATGGTTGACTGCATGTCATCCCCCCCCAAGAGGGCACCTCTGCTTTGGCCCAGGGTTCCCGTAATTATACTCTGGGTCCTGATAGATTAATTGGTATTTGGCCACCCAGACACGGACTTGTAAGCTGGTATTGATTGGTCAGAGGACCATCTCTGCACACCACCTTTCTGCAAATTGATATTACCTTTCTTAAATGAAAGGTTACGATTCTGCAAATATTTTTTTATGATTCCACCAAAAAATATTGCTTCGATTCTGCAAATAACTACCTGGATCACTGGCACACAACTAAAATGTATATATATAAATTTTATAAATTGATGAAGTAAATGTACAACATGCACGATAAAATATCGCATACCTAGGGGTTGAAATTTTGCATAAATATTTACTGTTCTGAGGACTACTGAGCTTGTGAATTCACTAGCTCATTGGAAATAAATAGGGATGGCTATCTGCATTTGGTTAATATGGTAAAATAGTTTGTGTGTATATCAATATACATGTCCATTACAGCTTAGTAAAAGTTAATAAATTAGTTAAAAAATTAAGTTAATTGGTTGGAACGACCGCGTAAAGTGCTATTTTCATATAATTCAATATTTTAAAAACCCCTCTGAACGTAAATAAGTTGGCGTTTTAACATAAATTTGGAGGTAAATAAGATGCTCCATGTTTGAGATAATGGGGGTAACTGATCAATTTGTTTAAACAATGTGTCGTTACCCAGCCTTTCCTGTATTTCTTTAATGATACTAATTAAATCACTGTTGATTACTCTGAACAGATTATAAGGTGTATCTTAAACAATCTTGTCTTTGCAGTTACCCATCAAATTATATCATTAAACAAACATTGTAAATTTAGAGATAGTTAAGACTTATAGCTTTGATTCTGGAGACAATACAGAATGAACTTGTGTCACATCTGGTCTGAAAAAATGTCATGTTATGTCTCTGATGTTGCAGGCATGTTTCATGGCTTCCTTAATATGTTCTTGTCTACTAAAATGCAAAAATAAATAGTGTTCTGATCAAGCACAATCATAATAATACTTGCCTTTTTCAGTCTTCTGTATATGAAGAGAGGAATAGAGCTAACTTAAAACAAGATGTGTTTGTGAAACACTGATGCCCCCGTATGGCAACTTATGGCAAAGGTTAAACTTTCTCAAATGCAAATCAAATACGTTGGTACCCAAAGTAAAGTCTTGTCTCGAGGAATATACCTTTGAAAAATGAAAGCCCTAGCACCATCCGTTCAAAAGTTATGGCCAAGGTTAAAGTTTTCTATAAGTAGGTCAAACTCCAAGGTCAAAGGGTCAAAGTTATTGGTATCCAAAGGAAGGTCTTGTCACAAGGAATAGACTTGTTAAATATGAAAGCCCTAGCACCAACTGTTCAAAAGTTATGGCCAAGGTTAAAGTTTTCCAAAAGTAGGTCAAAATCCAAGGTCAAAGGGTCAAAGTTGTTGGTATCCAAAGGAAGATCTTGTCACAAAATTACATATGTAAAGTATGAATGCCCTACAACCAATTGTTCAAAAGTTATGGCCAAGGTTAAAGTTTTTCAAAAGTAGGTCAAACTCCTAGGTCAAGGCCAAATGGTCAAAGTTGTTGGTATCCAAAAGAAAGTCTTGTCACTAGGATTACACATGTGAAGTATGAAAGCTCTAGCATCAATTATTCAAAAGTTATGGCCAAGGTTAAAGTTCGGTAAAATTTTGCAAAACTGGGTCAAACTCCAAGGTCAAGGTCCAAAGGTCAAATATGATGGTACCCAAAGAAAGGTCTTGTCACAAGGAATACACTTGTGAAATATGAAAGCCATAGCTCTAACCAATCAAAAGTTATGGGCAATGTTAAAGTTTTTGTGGACAAACAGACAAACGACAGACAGACAGATGGACGGACGGACAGGGCAAAAACTATATACCCCGAATCTTTGATACAGGGGGCATAAAAAAGAAACTGTATCTTCACTAGTATTTTGATACGATTAACTGGTTAATCAGTCAGAACGTCTTGCGGTTAACAGATTGGCAATTCCGTATTCAATTGCCTGGCATCCCTAAAAATAAGTTAAGACGAAATGAAACAATCTTTGTTGACCTTGTGTTTACTCATCATCTCTTGGTTCCTTTCCTTTTGCATCAAGCTGTAAAACTGATGCTGACAACCTGATATTTTAATTCAAAATAACACTAGAATATAAGGTGATGTGACTTAAACTACTGGTCTGACAGACTATTGGTGAGTGTTTATTAGCTAGTCTGCCCCATAAACTGGAGGACTAAGACTTAGGACCACTGTATTTTTAACTCCTGATACCAATAAGATGTCACCTGTGAATATGGCATACTTTTATAATGGCACTCAGTAGCACTGCATAAAAATGTATGTATGAATGCTATTAGATATGATGGTGCATTTAATATTAATTCTTACTTTCTGACAGATACAAAATGAGTTAAATGACACCCTAGCTGTAGCAGTAAATGAAATGTTTTATACATCTATGCTTGTATGAAAGTTATGCTCAAAGCCACAGTATATTTGGTGCCAGTACATCTTACAAGTCTGTTCGGGCACCAAATTTGTACCAGGAATCCTTAAGATTTCAATTTTGGCAATGTTTCGTATATTTTGCATATATATTCTTTACACAGAACATCAAGTTAAGTCTTTGTCACTCTATCCCAAAGTTAAATTGCAGAAACATTGTGCTTAGGTACAGTAATAGCTATATACATGTATATTTATATATTTTTTGCAGAAAAGTTAAAAAAATGCTTTGCAAAATCAAACTTTCTAGATCCATTTAAGCTCATGAACTTAATTTTATTATTTTACATTAATTTCATGAACTTAATTAAATTAATCAGAAATTGTATTAAATTTTGAATTTTATTAACCAAGAAATGCATTTCATAAAACTATTCATTTTAGTATGTGGAAAATTTTGCAGAAAATATACAATGTAAAATTTTTGAGTATGTATTCAAAATTGAGATGAATTTTGATAGTTTAAAGAAAACAGCTATTGTACTAAAGGAGCATGAGGAGGCCCTACAGAAGAAAAATGTTGCCTTGCTTGAATTAGGAGAAAGTGAGAGGTAAACAGGGCTGCTCCCAAGAATTGAAATAGCAGGGGACATTAAAAAAGTAGAAGGGGTTCTGGGGTTCTTCTCCTAACAGAGAGTTGAGGAGGGATACCATAATATCGGGGGATAACATCTTTATAAGTGGGGAAATTCCCCATGTCTTAGGGACAACCCTGGTTCAAACAATCCACATGTAATAATAATAAAGAATTTGAGAAATTTTAATAAATGTTAAATAATTTTTTTTTTTTTTGGAGATTTCAAAAATATAAAGGTATTGAAGAAGCCAAAATTAAACAGAAATATGCAACATAATTGATAACAATTAAAATTTCTCTATTTTTAGTAAAGAGAGATCCCAAATCCTTGAGCATTACAAGAACATATGGAGTGATTATGAGGCTAAATACAAGAGCTTTCCTCTTGCTAAGGCTTTGGACAGTCTTCAAGCAGAAAACAGGCAACTGGAGGAACAGCTGAAACAAGAGGAAGATGAATGTGGAAAACTACGAGAGAGACTGGCTAATTTAAGTGGTATTACAAACATTTTTATCACGGGTTTTTCTGTATATGTGTCTGATTTTCCTGTTTGTCACACGCTTGTGTCTCAGAAGTTAAGAAACTTTTTATATCTACATGGCACTTAAAACTTTATCTGATTAGTCAACCAAAGCAGCAAATCTCTTCCTCGTCAACTTCCAGTGTGATAAATGCATATACAACATTTGATTTTGCATGTAGGAAAATAAAATCATTGCAGTAACTACTAATCATTTCATGGTTTTGGCTTCAATTTAAACTTTTTCTTGGTACATGTAATTTGTACTATATGACACATTTTCAGCTAACTAGTTCATCTCATTCTTGGTTGCTTCAATGCATGCAGCAAATTCATCTTATTCTGATAAAATTATCTAAAACATGTAAACCCTTGAAAAGAAAGAGTTGGGTATACACTATATAGAGAGCAGTAGTTTGACTACATCATATACTGTAGATCACAAAATTTTTGCGACACCTTATCTTCAAGAGAGAATTATTTGGTTTTCTTGAGCAAAAATTTTTCACAGAATTGGTTATTGTGATATAATCTTTAATTATGAAGTATGAGTATAATTTTTTTACAACCAGATGTTCTCACATAATTACACAAAAATAAAGTTTTGGCAAATAAGTGATTTACAGTATTTTGCTAGAATTTAAATACCATAGTGAGGGCTGGACTATCATTTTTGCTATTTAGAGGGAATATGAAGCCCTTTGAATTTTGATTGGTGTAAATGCATTAATTAAGATTTAGAATTTGTTGAACTTGTCATATTTTGTTGTAGGAGACATTTCTTTTGAATCATTCCACATGGTCAAACTCCTGATGGTCTTTCTAATGACTCATTAAATAAATAATTATTTCCTTTTTTCAGACTCAAGTTACAGTGATGTGGGGAAATTTAATTCATTTGCTGTAACAATGTATCCTTTTCTCACAGTGTACGTACCAGGAAAAAATGAAGATTTTTTTTTTAGTGAGGCAAGATTAATAGTACATGTATTTACAACTTTTAGACTAATGCTGCTGCTATGAATCACATTGCAATAGTAAACAATTGAAATGCAAGCATTTTCAATATGGATTTTAGTAAAACAGTTTGATTCCTGTACTTAATGACTGTTAGAGCTGGAATTAAACTTGAGACCAAAAGTGTATTGAAAGAATATGAAAAGGTTGTCTTGCATCTATCCAAATCACAGGAAGAAAAGCAGAGACATCAACTGGTAAAAAAAAACAACAGATAATAGTCAATATAAAAAAAATAACTGAGATACACACATATATATGTTACAAATTTAAAAATAATTGTCATTATAAAAATGACTGAAATGCACTTATAATATTTTAAGTAGAGGTACATTATTTTTAGCAATCAGATTTGTGCTGTAAAACTAAATGTCTCTCAGATCATATTGGCTTTTGAAAAGTCGTGAGACAAGTTTCATTTCATTTCACTATGCATGACATTATGGACATTTAATGATTGAGTCTGTCATCCTTGCAGACTCTGAAGCATACTCAAACCCAACCAATGGCCATGACACACACTACACAGAGTAACCAGCAGCAAAACCAGTCCATCAGTCCTCAACAAGAAAACGCTGCTGACACATACTCTGATTCCATGCTTATAAGGTATATAAGATACAAAATTTTCCCACCATGCAAATAAGAGGCCCCTGGGCCAGAGATCTCACATAAGTCATCTTTGCCTTAACTATTCTTGTTTAGAAGATATTTAAAGATTTTGATTCCAGTATTGAAATATAATCCCTATTGTGGTGCAACTTAACCTCAAGGTCCTTGACCAAATTTGAATACACAGTATGGAGATGCTGAATATCATTATGACTAACCATTGCTCTGCTGTTTTGAAGAAGATTTTTAAAGAAATTTCCTACATATAAAATTTTGATCCCATAGTTGAGCCCTTTTCAAATTCCAGGGGCCATAATGTGAACAAATATGAATGGATACTAATTTGGAATATGCTTTCCTGCAGCCCAGCTTTCTTAATACATTTCTCCCACACATTTGAAGATTTTGATTTGCTAATGTTGCTTTCAAACATGTAAAGTTCAATTTATAAAACTGCAAGGGAAGTTAAATATATAAATCTAAACATTTCTGAAGGCTTGGCTTTGCAAAGGATTCTGATGAATGAACTTTTTGCTGTTGTTAATGTGATGCAAAAATGATAGTACTGTAAAGTTATGATGGAAAAATGATAGTCCTGTAAAGTTATTTTGAAAGTTACAATTCCATGATGAAATGATTCAAATAACACAAGTATAACCAAAACATCCTACTTGAGAAAATCATTAATTTTAGTGTAATCAGAGAAAGAGAGGATGATGAATCAGATGTCCCAATGCAAGTAATAGACAACTCCCAATCTACACAAGAATGCCACAGTGGAATAAAAACAATCCCTTGTTCTTCTGGTCCTTCAGAACCTAGCCAACAACACAACCAGGAGGAACCAATGGTTTGCAGCAGCTCAGGTGAAAAAACTTCAGATGAAAAACCTAGTAGTCTGCTTAGAGGACAGGAAGTAATGACCTGTACCAAACAGGTCCCGGTAGTCGATGAACAGGGTGACAACATCAAGACAGTAACTTGTCTTCCGTCCAAGCAGCCCCTCTCTCAAAGAACCAGTCCAGCAGTATCAAAACTGGACAGAAGAGCCCCACTTCCACAAAATAGTCCAATGATGCCTAAAGCATATTTACCTTCACTAGCAGAAATGAGGGCAAAAGTTGCAATACCAACTCCAAAGCCTAGTTCAAAACTTCAGACTGAGAGCAGGTAGAGATACCTAAATCTGCAAAACCTTTCCTGTTATTTTTAAAATTATTTTGCATTGCATTGTTTTAGATTTATGATTACTTGTGACAGTATATTTGTTACAGTTCAAAGACGCATCAGCTTCTTATCCCATCCATATCAAAACTCTCCGTAAGTCAAGCTGTTACAGTTCCATTAAGTAACTCTGGGAAAAAAATGTCCAACCAATGCTCAGAACAAATCCGGAAGCCTTTTGCCAAAACTACAACAGCTGAAAATTTACAGGCTTCTTTTGGTCATCAGGTTGAAGCTGCAATCCAATCAAATATACGTTCCAGTGAAATTACCAATAATAAAATGTCACTCAAAGGCACTAAAAATTTTACTACCCAGTCTGAGAGGCCGAAGATTTCAGCATCTTGCAAAGGTAAAATCTTTAACAAAATTTGTGGAAAATGTATGTGAATTTCAAAGATTGACTTACAAAATTAAGATTAAAATGATTTCATAGAGCAAAGAAATCCAAACTCTACCTCAACAAAAGTTAGTCATCACGAAGTGACTGCACGTGAAACTTGTCACAGGGAGGAAATTGAAATGCAAGAGGTGGAACCATCCAAGACAGTTACCACACCTCAAACACCGATAGTCTCAGCAAACACAGGCGATGTAAACAGTGCCAGTTCTACACCAGGTTTGCTATTTTTGAATAAACATTGATACTAATGATGTAGCTGTTTCGTCATAAAAATATCACATCATGTGATGTGATATGATTATATGTATCACAAAAAAGATTTCATAAAGGCTTCCTTTCCATCCAGAATCTTTGCAAGGATCTACAGCAAATAGTGGTGGATTAAGTCCATTTGATATGGCCAAACATTCTGAGAGAATTCAGATGTTTCATAAGTCCCCAGGCCTTCCACCTGGTCTCTACACTTCAAAGCCAATGTTGACTTCTTCAGTGGTGGTAAGCTAATAAATGGAATAGCTTAACTCATATTTTATGATGCATTTGGTATTGTTAAGAACTGCATGTTGTTTTTAGGATCTCGTGGTTTAATCAAGTATCCTTTATATCACAGCCATAAATATATATATTGTTAAAGACTCGCTTAATAAATGAAAAGTAACAAGCTGTTGGGTTCGATGATAGAGTATATTTTCAAAATATGTTAAAGCAGGTGATCAAGTAGACAGTTTTTTTTGGTCTTAATTATAAAATGGTATATGGCACTAGAGAAGGAGATTGTTTGTTCCTTACTCCTGGCTGTCCTAGGGTAGGGTGAATTAGTAGGAGTATTTGGTACCTGGCAAGCAAGCACACCTAGTATTAAATTCTTAAAACCCCTCACACACTCCTCTAAAATATAGTATATGAAATACAGCAAATTCCAGATGGTTGTAATTCGCTGGCCCCCTTACCAAACTGTTATGTTTGCTGCAGACCTGCAGCAAGTCTGCTGCAAGTTTGCAGCAAACAAAATTGTTCGCAGGAAGAAAATTTTCTTGTTCGCAGATGATTGCCGCTAGCTGCGATCTTGTGGCAAACATTGCAGCAATTGCTGTAAGCTTGCAGCAAATTCGCAGGAACTCAACATGTTTGCAGGAACATTGCAAGAAACATACACGCCAATCTGTTGTTCGCAGCAAGTTCGCAGGAAACATTTAACAAATTGAATGTTTGCAGGAAGTTCACAAGAACAGTAAACAAGTCAAATCAGCCAATGAAATGCAGATTGTACTGGGGTCAACACAGAATTCGCCATTTTGAAATGTTTGAATTGAGGTGTAGATGTTTCAGTATTTTGTTAGGAATACTTCCCATTTTGAACATGTTGAATGATTACAAAAGCAAAATTCTGAATGTAGGTGTATATTGGCATACACAACATCTAATTGGTAAGATCTGATTTTGTTTTACTTTGATATGAAACAGTTATCTCTTTAAAACATGTTCAAGTAACATGTTCAAGTAACATGTACTTGCTAGGTCAAATCTTTTTATGAATTTTAATCTTTATTTTAATATCACAATTGTATGTTTCTTTAAATGTATTAAAGGTTCCAAATCAACTATTATAAATGTTTTCAAATAAATTAGTATTAACCATAACTTTTATTGTTAAAGGAATGTGCGAAGTTTTAATTTTCTGTACTTGTCAAAGATTTTTTATTAAGAATAGAATGTAAACATTGTCAAGGAACATAAAGAGAGACTATCAACACTTCAGAAACAAGCTTGCATCATTTCAGACACATGTGGTGGATTTTCTCTATAGTTAACAGATTAAGGTCAGGACAGAGACTTTCTGTGAACTTGCTGCTTGTACGCAGGAATGTGCCAAATACAATAATTATATTCCTTGCCACAAGTTAGCAGTAATGTTTGCTGCAAGCTTGCAGCAATGTTTGCTGCAAGCTTGCAGCAATGTTTGCCGCAAGCTTGCAGCAATGTTTGCCGCAAGCTTGCAGCAAGGTTTCCATATTTGGAAAATCCAGTGTTTGCTGCAGACTTGCAGCAAACCTCATTTGCATGGTAAAATGTTTGCTGCAAGCTTGCTGCATACTTGCCGCAAACTTGCTGCAAACCCAAAGGCTTTGTATAGGCTGCCATGGTTTACTTAGCTTCATTGCAGCAAGCTTGCAGCAATGTCTGCAGCAAGTTTGCAGCAATGTTTGCTGCAGACTTGCAGCAAATGTTTGCAGGAAGGCAATATTTTTGGTAAGGGGGATCTTATAGGTGAAGATGAGGATAATGAAATGATGTTTAGTATTGTAACAGGAAAGGAGAAAATGTATGGCTGGACCAGAAATCAAACCCAGGACCCCTGCATCACTAATCAGGTTCTCTACCGACTGAGCAGGCCAGACTGAGCAATCCATGGTCCAAACCATTACATTCCTTCCTCCTTAAATTGTCTTCATCCTTGAAGACACAACCCAAGTTCTTATTTGCCCCTGGCAAGACTTTCACCTGCAAGTCCAGGGGTAGTCAACGGCACCAAATTTGTAACAGGAAAGGAGAAAATGTATGGCTAGACTGGGAATCAAACCCGGGATCCCTGCATCACTAGTCAGGTGCTCTACCAACTGAGCTACCCAGGCTGATATCCACGGCCCAAACCATCACAGTATATTAGATCATTAAAAATATTAAACATTTAAATAATATATTTATTAGAGTAAGAATTTATTGACCTTGTGATATTTATCCACTTGTTCATTGCAGACAAAGTCTAACTCAAAGATTGCAAGTTCAGAGACTCCATCGTTTGTAATGCAAGAAACTAACGTAAATCCATTCAGTGTGAATGAATTCAACACATATGATGAAGGGAGACCAAACCATTTTTCAGGTATTTAGCATAACAGAGTGAACAGACTCCTTACATTCTGTTTTTTTATGCACCACTTAGAAGATATTTCCTTATCAGCAGTGAACGGAGTAAGTGTCTATATCTATGTTTGCTAGAGGATTAAAATGGGTTACATGTATTCTGAACACAATGTATACTTATACTAGCAATTTAATACACAAAAGATATTTGTTTATTTTTAGTGTATTACTGTGGAAAACAGTTTAAATAAAAAATTACAATTGATGATCAACTTTTATTACTGTGTCTTTTTACATTACAATGGCATATTTGGAATTCATTCTATATGTTTAATAATGTGATGTTATGTAGTGCTTGCTGAAAAAGTTGACTCTGCTGTTACAAATTGTTTCTATGTATGTATCACTGTAACAGTAAGGTGTGTAATTGTATAAGAGTACATGACTTAAAAAATGATTTCATTTCCAAGGATTCAATGAGTTGGACCTTGGTAGCAGAGGATTCAGCTTTCACAGCAATACAAATGATTCCCCTGAATCACGTGGTTTCACCTTTGATGATTCGACAACAAAATCTGCAGAACCAAGAGGATTTAGCTTTGGAGATTCATTCCAATTTGGAGGGGATTCTGCCAAGGGAGATAAATGCGAAAATTATTTGTCAGTGTTCGGAAGTGAAACAGGTGGTAGTCAAATGGAATCCAAAGAAACTAGTTTCACTTTCTCCTTTAGTGGATTTCAGTAATAAGAAAATCTTGTTGTTCATTGTTATAAATTGTTAATTTGTATTTACAGTTTTGATTATTTTCCATTTTACTGCTGTTATTAAATAATTATGAACTTTTAAAAGCTAGTGTATTTTATAAAAAAAACCATAAGTTTGGCGAACATATTCATTCCATGTACATGTTAATGTTTCTTGTAAATGTCATTTTGAAACATGAATTATTTATGTAGGTATAGTATGATAAGAAGGCCCATGAGCCACAATGTTCACCTGAGTCTCCTTGACCCTGCTGTTTTCATCATCAGATTTCTTAAAAGATTTTCCCCCTCTTTATTCTGAGGAAAAAAAATTGATACCATATTGTGACCTCATGGGGTATGACTGAACCAAACTTGACACCACACAGTATGGGGATGTTTCAATATTAATGTGACTTACATGACCTTCTGTTCAAGAGAAAAAGATTTTGCATGCATTTTGCTGAATTTCATGTCCCAAATTAACCCCCCCCCCTTCCCCCCACATTTAATCCCAAGGTTCACAAAAAGTTCGTACATGTTCCGACACGTAACTTTGAATCCTTATTTTAACCACCCCTAGCCCCAGGGGCTATGTGATCAAAAATGAATGTACACTACATTGAACTGCTTGACAATATGACTAACCATGGCCCAGTGGTTCCTGAGAGTTATTTATTCCCATGTGAAATGTGCCCTACCTACCTGCTTAGTCCAGGATTCAAAATAAATTGAATCTACACTTTATATATCTGAAGTTGCTTGGATGTTATTATGAATAATCTTGTCTTGAGAAAGATAAAGTTCTTCCTCATATATTTCACTGTAAACTCTTTGATCTATTGTTTGGGGGGGGGGGGGGGGGTTGATTTGAAGAAGCTATAACCTACACTATGTCAGGAAACTTTCACAGTTTCATCTTTCCTGGTGGTGTTCAAGGATTTTTTTTAATGAGCCCTATTTAGTTTGCATTTCCTTGCATAATTATTTCCCCTTAAGCTCAGGTGAGCTTAAAAGGAGAAAAACTACAGCAACTAATGGTTCAAGTTCTTTGCTATTAACTTGAGGTAGAATGAAAACTGATGAAAATTTACTTGAGGCCATATAGGAGTGTGTACAATCAGAGCCTTTCATATGTGCAACCTTTGCATATATTCAAAAGAAGCACATCGTTTGCATTGCAAAACACAACTATAAGCAGGTATCAGCAATAGTACTATTTATTTTATAACAAATAATAAAAATGCAAGTAATATAAATACATATATTAAAATATTCCATGAGCATCTTTTAATATGACAATGCATCTTGATTCATATCACTTGGGTATTGAAGCAGAAAACTCCATCTAATTTAATGAAATAAAGATCCTGGTTTTAATTTGATCCAAACTGTTTCCAATACAATTAGCAATGAAGCTTCTACCAATCTTTTTTCTGGGTGCTGGATGTATTGCATAAGAGTGCAAACACTGATAAATTTTAATGAGCATTATTTTACACATTCAGTCACATGCAATACAAAATCTTTTCCAAAGTTGGATGCTTTTAAAATATCATTAAACCACAAACCTGATTTTGCCTCACAATCTGGCAAAGTGCTTGGGATTATGGGTAAAATTTGAACATATTTAATAATTCATAAAAATTTATGAAAAAAATAATGTTGGCCAAAAATAAAGGAGAACCACAATACAGTGGTCCCTGTGATTAACTACATGTATTAAATAAATCTGATTTCATTGTACGACAGCCAATTTGTTACTTTTGGAAGTTTTTGTCAAAATTTCTGGTGCAATAGACATCATTAATATATCCAATACAATCATTAGTTAAGATGTTCATTAATAACACAGTTATCAGTCAAGATATTCAATAAAAACAATAGAATGTGCCCTTTAACATGCCATATTCCATATTTATGAATTTGAAATTTTGCTCTCTGCAAAGTGTAATTTACAAATTGTAGTACATGTACATGTATATTTGTACATGTATTTACAAAATGAGAGCCACTATATCATCTTTCTATTACATTTATCAATCATCGTCTTGTATATACTTCTAAAGCAACATAAAATGCATTTAAAACAGTGATTACGTTTAATGAGATCTACTTAAATGTTCACACACTTGCAAAATGCAAATGCCTTCACCAAAATGATATGATTTTCAATTTCCAAGCCTATATTTTGTTAACAAACAAAATTCTCTTTTTTCTTCTTTGAAAAAAAAAATTGATGAACATAAACACTGTTTCCATCTAAAAAGACATTTCATTGGCCACAGTTTCTCCATGAAACCCATGCCTGCATAGGAAAGATTTTGACACTTTTTCAAGAATATTTTGGTCCTTGTCAGATATCAGAGATCTGGAGATGCAGCTAGAATTTTTTCCTCCATCATTTCCAAATGAAGTTCTTACATACAGGAATACTGTTGACCGTTGACAAGAACATATTGCAGGCTTTAACAATAAAGGTAGTGGTATGTTTGCAATGTTTGTCTGAACATGCTGAAGTATGAGTGGATAATGGAATTCGAACTTTAACTTAAAAACACTCAAAGGAAAGTGAAATCTGTCTAGCACTTTATAACACTATTTAAAAATTCTACATAAATCTGTTTGACTTCTGTTTAATTAGTCATAAATTAGAGATGTCTTTATGCTCTCTTCCCCACGCCCCCCCCCCCCCCCCCCCTGCTTCCGAATCAAACCTTGCACCTTGTTAAATGTTGTTGAAAGATGCAGTATAATATTCTCAAGTTTGATCTGCATACCCTTTGATACAAGCCAAAAAAATGATCTAAAAGCTGAGGATAACTCTTTGTATACAGACATACAGGCAGATGACAGCTAAACACACAGATGGAAGGATTCCAATATCATTAACAACTTTGTTTCTGGAGACTTAAAAACACCATAATAAGAACTATTACTTCTGACAAAAATGTACTGAATCACAATTTCTGTCATCAATCTTTAAAAAATTCAACAAGCAAAATCTGCCCTGTGCAGCCAAAGTATATGGTAAAACCTGTGGCTGATGGTTAAAGATCTGTGGCTTGTGTACAAGATAGCAAACAATGTTTTCTTTGTAGAATGATTCCCTGAAAAACCTTGATTCATTAAAAAAAAGTCTATTAGTGAGCTCAATGATATGATGATGATAATGTCTCTAGAGCCAGCATAAAGCCTCCGCTAACTGCTGTCATTAATATTGGTTGTACTGGGTGATTCCGTGAGACCTGGCATGGCTTTCTGAGGTTTTCGGACATTCCAATGGAGACATTCTGCCAAAGACTCGAACCAGTCATCCATCTGATCCTTAGCACAAACAGAAGGAACTGGATATTGAGCTGTGGTAATTCGAACACTGAAACACCAATTCAATAGCTTATGAACATATACATAATTCTTCTTTTACAATTTCATGTATAATACATTTATTTAAATCCTGAAGTACCGGTACATGTATCCAATTATTAATTATTAGTTAATTCATAATTATTGGTAAAAACAGGACAGTGCTGCTCTGAAAAAAATATCATATTGATATAGTGATTGAGATTTACCTGTCTCCTTGGAAAATTTCTTGTCTATTTCTTCCATCAAGTGACACCCAAGCTGAATTTCTAGCTTCTGGAGAGACCATTATCTGGAATAAAATTCCAACAACAGATGACAAAATGCTACAAACTGCATAACTTATACCATCTGTTTACAAGCATTCACAATTAATAAGGCTTGAGTGCTATTTTTCTTTAAGAAAAACAAATAATTGCACATCCTTGATAATACTGAGTATTTATCCCCTGTGTACCTTAATTTCTGCTCCTGCTGGGACAACAACTGGTCGGAATGAGAGAGAGTGAGGACAGATTGGTGTAATGACTATTGCGGGGACATTAGGATGGACCATAGATGCACCAGCGGCCACTGCGTAGGCTGTACTTCCTGTCGGCGTAGAGATGATAAGACCTGGAACATAATTTACCAAGTAAACTGATTACCTGGTACAAAATCTTAGGTGGATAAAAATTCTCTAAGGCAACAGTTCTGATATAAATTATTTAAAGTGAAAAAAATCCTATCTGTAGTGTATATTTTTTAATCCTTAAATCAAATTCAAAAACAATAGTGATAGGTTTAGGTCATTGGTACACTCACCATCTCCCTGTACAGTGGTGACAAGTTTGCCTTCCACGTACAAGTCAATATTGCTGAGGTAGGGAGACTGTCCTCTATCTACAACTACTTCATTGAACACCTGACAAAACAACATTTAAAATAGGGGTAAAAGTTGCTGTCTTCATAGTTTCATTTCCATTTTCACTATGCCTTTATCTGCCTAATACAGATCACATTTAAATAGCACAGTTGAACTGCTGTCAAAAACTAGAGATAAGTGAAAATAAGTACTAAGACTTAGTCAACTGAGAGTTTGAATCTCAATTTAATATCTCATTGAAACTTAAAAATACAAAATTGTACAGTATCAAGGTCTGACTGCATTTACAAATGGCTATGACCGTATACTTGCAAGTAAATGGGTTTTGGACTGAACAGTACTGTGAGACCTCTGAATCTGTTTTACATGAGGGATTTTCGCCATGTGGGAATCCTTCCTGCATATGACACACTTTAGCCTGTACCGCAGGAGCAATCCAGCATTTCCTGTGATACATGAATAGAATAAAATTGTCACTCTCTACTGGAGCATTATAATAAATAACATACAGGTACATTGTAACTGCACTTTCAGAGGATTTCATTAAAAATTCTGCATGGTATTTTGCGTGTTGTGAAAATGGGGCTCAATTGTTGTTTTTCAGGTAGTGACAGTCTTCAATATTCATATTTATATTACATGCTCTGGCTCACAAAGTAACATATATACTCGGTATATCATATTTGAATCTTACATAGAATGAATATTGTACTGGGAGGCAATCAACATTAATCTCTATCACCTTAAAACAGGAAGTGCTTTAAATGCTCCCTAATCTCATCTCATTTTTTCATGCTGTGTATTTTTGTCATGTAAGTGGTTGTTGTAGCAGTGCATTTAAAGTCAATTTTATCA